CATAATGAATTTTGAATTCTTGACACCTGCGTTGATATTAACTGGCATTGCAAATTAGAATAACCAAGTAGTTCTCTACTGCAGGCAAAGAAGCCGATAGAAGTGCGTGCGCTTCCCAAGCAGGCACTCGCTCGTGCGCAATGCAAAACAGTGAGGCTGGACTCTTTCCACCCCCCTCCTCCCCCTATAGACTTATACAGGGTGGGCCAAAAAAAAACTTTTCAATAAATTATTCAACAGAATAGAAAGCTGGAATCCACTGAAGAACAATACATTTGAGCGCTCCAACCCTTGGACATCTTCATTGACATGGAATGTTTCACATGGGCTCTGTCGTTTGGAAAAATGGCAACCTAAGCCAGTACTGGTGAATAGCTCTTTCCAAAATCTTTGGAAGACAGCATTCCACTCTTGAACAATTTTCGCATATTCTTAACCCTTCCGCTGCGTAAACTTTGAAGAGGTAATAGAACTGTGGACGACTGAAGTTGCCTTTCGCAGTGAAAGGGATAAGATGGAAACTTGTTTCCTGAAGTTTTTCCCTTAAGTGCCTCATTGGAAAGATGTAAATCAGGGCTGTTCAATGGCAAAACTTCAGGTTCTATCAAGTCTACCATATGCATGAAAGAAATAGCTACACAAAGCCTACAGAGTGCGTCACCTCGTCTGGAAGGCTAATCAATACCTAGGAAGGGTGCCGGATTTCAAAGAGCCAGACAATTTACAATAGAACACATGATTTATACCCTTGTGATTGCATATCTTCGGAAATACTCCCGATAAAGTTTACCGTAACACCATCTTTCAAAATCTGGGGAATCCAAAAGCTAAGACCCAAAGGGGAGACGCTATCACTCGGCGATTTTTCGACAGGGGTCAATCGCGGTTATATTTAACAGCTCCTCTTCAATACGCTGAAAGCTATATTCACGGTTTCCCATCGACTTTGACAGAAGCGTAGGTCTTCAACTCCATTGCCTCCATATAACAGCCCTCTCCCTTTGTGAATCAATATTCGAGTGCCATGCTTATTTTTTTTTTTGCCCACTCTGTACTACACCATTGTGTGCTCAGTGGTGCCCTTATGAGTTGCCTATGGGAAAGAGGAGGAGGTGTCTCGGCTCTCACTTCCCCTCCGCGATTCTGTGCAGGAATCAACCGTGAAAGATCGGATTTCGCTCGTTTTCCACCGATTCAGAATGAATCCGATGGTCCTGAGAGATGACCTACCGAAACTGAGGTACTTGATGGATATTTCAAAGTCGAATAGGAAATAATTTTTTTGGAAGCCTGAGCCCCTTGCCTTCCCCGATGAGCCAATGAGCCGCCACGGATTCACGTTCGCTTTAAACTGGAACTAACGTTACGACAACGCTTTTTCGCCAATGGGCCGAAAGAGTGTTCAGATCGCAATCGCTTGCAAACTACGTTAACTCGTGATTTTTCGTGTCAAGAAGGGGTAGCTTCTCACTCCTTAGCCGTGGATCCCGTCCAACTTTGTCACAGGAGTGATGAATGCATAAGGTAAACTGAAAAAAAGATCATGCGGATCGTATCAGAAGCCTGTAGAACTTAAAGCTCTTGGACATTTTTTCCTCCCAAAATAGGCAGAGGAGGACCTTAAACATAGCTATGACGCAATAGCTTCGAGTAGCATGATAAAAAAAATCGGAAGCTGAGATCTCACCAGGTTCTGCAACTGAGATAAGCTCGACACAACTTGAGATGGAACCGAGGGGAGAATACATGCACGGACGCACTTATCATGAGTGTGTGAATCGAATAGAAGTAAGGCGGTAGATAGCAGACACTCATGCACGGAAAGTGCCAAAGACGAGTATCGGATTCATCTGAACATACGAACAGTGCAGGGGAAACAAAAAAAAAAAAAAAATAGCAAGGGCGGAAATAGCAATAGCGAAAACAAGCATGTGCACAACGGCTTCCTGCCAGTATTCCCGGACTTCGTCGAGGCTCATCTTTCATCTTCCAACGTCGATGTTGAACCAAACACATAGGTACACATCAGTCTAAACTTGTGTTTTCGGTTTTTAAGATTCAATTAGAAGCAGATCTGCGCTAACTATCTTCGCATTGGATGGTCCTATCTCGTATTCTCCCGACGCCTTCGGAAGATATTAAGGCAAGTGAGGAATTGTCAGGTTTGTGGAAACTCGGGACTCTATCTGAAATTCTTTTCATGAAGCAAGAAAATCAGAAAATCAATCCCTCCAGCTTTCTTCATCAACATCACAATCTCCTGGGAAATATACAATAAGAAAATACGTATTTGCCTCCTGGCTTATTAGTGAGTTTCGAAGTCTTACGAGCTCAAGGCTGCCTTTAAGAAAGAAAAAAAAAAGACGGTTTTTAAGAAGAGGAAAATAATGGATGAAATGAAATAAACTTTTCCCCCAGAGGGAAGCCCGGAGCCTCCAAAATGTGGAAGCGCGTATATGAACTAGGTGCTTGAGATAAATCTGTTGTCCTGTGCGTTTATCCTTCTACATTCCTCCCCTTCGTATCCATGTAGATCCCACTCCTCCGAAAGGTAGTGGTAACAGTAATTTTGTGGGTGTTTTAAAGTTCTTTTCTTTTCCATATGCCATTCGCAATAAGCTATTTCGTGTCAGGCCTCCAGGGAGACGGGAGATGGCCCATGGATCACATTACTCGGGTTCTTTTTTTCAAACGGGGAAAACATTGTGCTCATCTTTCCTAAGAAAGCAGGAATGTTGCCAGCAATCACAACTTAAAAAGCAACAAAGAGGGAAGCCAGTTCCTGTGCACAGACTCCCCATATTCAATAGGATACTCCGTGGAAGTTGGGGGGTAGCAGTGTCTTTCGTCTTCTGAAACACATTCGTATAGTCGCCTTGAATTTCGTGAGGCGCAATAGAGGGGTGTAGCCTGCAATACAGCTCCTAACAGCAGTGCTTTTACATCTCAGGACCTATTGACTCCATTCAATTTCATGGGAAGCTTTAATCTGTGTACTTCAGGATAATAGGAGCAGACGCTCCCGATGGTTTCCCATTACTCCCCGTGCTTCAGCTGATTCAGGGGGTCTCGTAACCTCGCGAACGTGTTCTTCATTGCTTCTCTTTTAAGAATCGTATCCATACAAATGGATAAAAGATTCCTCGCTTCCGTTTAGGGGAAACTCTGGGGGGGGGGGGGAGGGAGGGAAATCCCGTAGAATGCATTCCAAGCATTCCATGCGAGGATAATCCTCGTCTTAAACGGTTCATGGGAAACGTTAATGGGGCAGCTACCAATTAGACCAATGGAACAAATTTCCGTCTCGGCATAATAGTATCCGGTCTTGGTTCGAAACTGGCCCAACCTATAAATATATTAGCCCTGACTCGAGGAAAAGAAGGCTTGCCTCTTTGCCAAAATACCAGAATCCCATTAAACCATGATTATCTAATATATGGTATGGAAGAAACTGAGCATTTGACACCAATTCGACCTTTCGAATTACATGGGAAAGGAGAATAAAGGGGAAAGAGAAGAAAGTAAATAGAAACACTAAGTAGCTGAAATATCACAGCAGAAACAAAGAAAATATAGGAGGGGAAAGACCACACAATTTTTTTTCAGCACCTATAATTAAGATGAATGGATACTGCCGGCAGAATACCATCGGCAAAAATATCAGCTTTATGAGCAACGCAAACAAGATATTTCCTTCAGGACAATCAAACTATGGCAGAGGGAAATGAGAACATGACAACTGATCCGAAACAGAGTACGAGAGAAAGTTCTGCCAGCGTCTTGAGTATCAATTATCAAAATTGATTAATCATGATTGATTCATAGATATGTTCCAAAAGCATGCTCAATCTTAAGATTCTTCCCATATTAAACCTTGCGTGAACTGTTTTTGCGAACTCTATGGGAGTGAGTAGACTCAAAGGAGAACCAAAAACTGCTACTAATGCGACGTTTCAGAAAGGACAGCCAAGAGGTCCTAATGAGTTACATCATTTATTTCGCTAAATCATCTTTTACATTGTGTAGTACTATATGAAAGTGGCAAGTATTATTTAAACTCGTCCAAACTAGATGGTACATTAGGGATACAAGTCGATCCTGATTTTCCTCACATTTCTCCCGAGCAGGTCTTCTAATGCCGATATCTTAGTTTGTGCCTGAGAGCGAGGAACGTATTGCGGTTGAGTCCCTCTAAAATTGCAGCCGGATATCTTCAAGGTCTACCTATTCCAACGCCAAGTACACTCAGGTCTGGAAATTCGTACGCAAGCCTATGGCGTATATGATCAGATATCTTACTATACTCATCTAATATATTTCTCAAGACATTACGAAACCTCTGAAAATGGAACAAGGAATACTGTGTATACTCCCACCTACGCCAGTTCACTAATGAAAATTGATTAGACATAAACAAAAGGATACCTATAGGTAAAATTAAATGGACTCCTAAGCTCTGTAAGGCACTGCGACCATGTGACGCGATGTCTCAGGAAATTGCTGGCTTCGTGACTATCTTGGTTCAGTATCTTAATATCTTTGGTATCTATCCACTTGGGATGTAATTGCGCAAGTATATTAAGGGTATGAATGATATATGGTCCAAAGAGAGCATATTTCCTTTTGTTCTTCAGCAACTTCCCAGTTTGATCAATTTCAGGTTAATGTAGCTATGCTCTATGTCCATGGTGTCCAATACGCTTGCCACTCGCCACATATGGCGAATTGGCCACAGACATGTGACGAATTGATGCTCTTCTTCAGTTATATTTTTTTCTTCAGGCGCATTTATTAATAATGCATCTATTTTGTACCATGCAGCGAATATGGTGACTTGATCGCCACAAGTTTGGCGAGCATCGAAATCCTATTGGACACCAATGCTCTATGCAACATGCCATACTGCGATCCTTGAAGGTTGAAACGCCAGGAAGACATCCTTTCTTCTTGGGAGAGCAGTTAATTCTGTGTGACACCACCATGAAAGAAAATGGGATAGCTTTTCCTTTTTTGAATATTTTAACTTCATTCCAAGTGACTCACCTACACAAGAGACATTTCATTACAGTCCAAACATACAAACCACAGAAGACCCAGCATGTGGACTCACTGATGCACAAGGCTTCCAACACATTCACACAAATGTTCTTCCTTCAGAACTTTTTCCATTGATGAATGTCGATGAGAGATGGATGCAAGTGATTGCATTCACTGCCATCTTTGAAATCCACCCAGCCCCATCAATAAGAAAATCACTGAAAGCTAAAAAGGGAGAACTTCTGCAGCCTCCAGACTAAGACTATGCATTGACAAGGTTAACAGACGGTCTCACTATACACTCGGGAACGTGGCAAGGCCCAGGGGGATGCAAGTCAAATAGACAAACGATTGACCGACTTCTTGCTGCTGCCATATCCTATGGCATGTTCTCGAGCAGCGGTTTCATCCTTTCGTTCCATGACAGACATAGACAGGTTCTCTTTTTTTCTATGATACAACATGAGGAGTGAGCAGGCAGGGATTATTGGATTCAGTGACCTCCCCTGGGTCGAGTCAAGTCACTGCCCACATGCCTGCTCCTCACTGGAGGCTACAGGAATCAAAAATTGAATCAGCTACTACAAAAAGCAGATAAACATTACTCTCTGCAATGTAACAGACAGAGATGAAGACATGAAGGGAGATGAAAATGAGTTAAGGGCAGATGCCGAGAATTCTTTAGTCCTGCATTTCCTCTGGGATTTCATGAGGATTGATAATGCCAGGCACAGAGAGTTGAAGGCGCCGCTTCTCTTCTTGTGCCAATTGCAAGGCTTGTTCCCTCTCTTCCAGGAAAAGATCTGAATCATCCTCCCCTGTCATCTCCTACAGTTGTAAAATAAATTTCATTGAATGCTTCAGGCCTAAAGGTCAGCAGCATAGATTTAAGGACAGAGATATAATCACTCAAACACAAGAAAACAAATTCCAATCAAGGGATAGGATAAAAGGGAAGAGTATGAGGGATCAAGGCATAATAAAAAAAAAACCTGAGGGAAAAAAAGTGTGGCCTTGATTTCTCATTAGTTGATTGACCATGGACTGGGCACAGGGAAGAGGAATGCTAGATCTCATCTTCCTCTTTCTCTTATTAAGACATTCAACTTCTGACTTCTACATGATGTTCCAACTCTAGGACACTCTTTTTTTTTCTGGGAAAGTTATGAAGGAATGTATCTTTCAAGTTAACCACAATTATTTCACAAATAAGGGACTCTCATTCCCTACTTCCTTTTGGCTAACATTTCTATGCAATAATTGCCAAGTGCATGCCAGTCACAGGTATACCTATTTACTTTATAACAAGGGCATTAACACTTTTAAGCCACATAACCCTCATATGAGGAGGTAGAGCCGATAGTGCATTTAAATTGAAAGAACTGAAAATGCTACTGTAACTTTAGCAACTTTTTCCTCCTGTAATCTAATATTTATAAAGCACGTTGTGATACACCATGGATCCACATACCAAGGCTTAACAATGGATGAGGTAGACAATTAATACATTCGCAAGTTTTTTGAAAACCTGCTCCAGGATGTCAGATGGAGAAAATCAATGAAACAGCTAGCAACAATAAAATTTTCTATGAAATTGCAAAATAATTTTTTTTTCCAAAGCCCTTAGCAAGGCATATAAGTTACCTTTAAATCAGTAAGAGTAATTTAAGGCTTAGCAGAAGCACTGCCATCATTCATTTTACACTGGCATGAGCATGACCTTTAGGCAGAAAGAGATGTAATAGGTACTCAGGAATACTCAGGACTTACTCAAGATCTCTTTTACAGCATTACTTTAGTTTGTCATTGTCCTCATTCATACATAGGGAGTCACTAGCAGAAATTCAATTGTCTTAAAGAATATGAAGATGAAGCATCTTGCCCAAGAGAGTGAGAACTTCATGTATGAACACATGAAGTTCTCATTCTCAGTCTCTTGAGTCCAATGTGGTGTTTGTCTTCTCACAAGCATTTTCAAAATGCACTCAGAGTCATTAGTAAAACCCTTTGCAGTTACAGATAAAACCAGCTCCATGTGAAGATAACCTAAATGGAGTCTTGGTCTTATGTGAGTAAGACTAGGAAAAATATCAGGATGTAAAAAATGCTGATTCTTCCTGTACTTTTGTTGGCAATCCTTTCTGTTTTTCAAATAAAGGAAAGTATATCTGTCTCATATTTTTTTAACGATGAGGGTGATGGGAAAATGTTTAAAAAAATGCAATGTACAAGTACCGTGTCTGTAGATAAACAGACACACTAGTATATGGAAGTGTTCAGTCTCTTGGGCATGTTGCTTCATCTTCATGATCTCTAATAGCTCCATAGTTCTATTAGTAACAGCCCACTGAAGAATGATGTTGATAACCTGAAATGACACTGTACAAGAGAACTGAAGCATGTTTTGATGTAGACTCTGTACCTCCTGTGTAATAGTGCTAAAGGTCATGTCTGTGACCCCTGAGCTCCTAACTGATAGATTCAACTGATGACAGTACACCAATTAAGCATCCAAAAATTTTGCAAATTTAAAGGTGAGTTCCATGGCTCTTGATATATTGGCAAAAGCAAAAATGTTTGCAACCAATATCACAATTTTAATCAACTCAGCTAATTTGGCTCACTCAGGATTTAGTTGATTTTCTCAAACTGCCACCTTACAACTTGTTTTCAAATAATGTATAGACTTACTTTTCCAATTTGCATCATGCATAAAAGCTGAAAATTTTGCAGATAAGTAATCTGAAGCAAGCAAAACTTGATGAGGTGAATTCAACCCAAATTAAAAATAAAATGTGATCCATAAGAGTTGACTCCAATGCATGTACATGCCACATATTCTACATGTGGCTCACCCTAAGGTATCTATCACTCCCATGGCCCTTCCTTTCTGTCTTTCTATCTCAAAACTTTCTCCCCACTTTCTAAAGTTTCACAATAAATCAATTAGGGAAAGCAATTTGTGCATGCCCAAACATGCCTGATGTTATCACAATCAATCACTTATGGTCATGATTATTAGGTTTGCTCCTGTACTTCATATTACTTTTTACCCATTGTAAATCTCAGTGTCACACTACCTAGAAGAAAGGAATAATCTCTTGTGAGTTGGCACAGAGACTCCAGTAAGTTGTACTCTCCAATGGGCTGGAAAGTGGCAACATATAACTGGATCCCTAGTATTTTTTGCTAAGTCTTAGGCAACTGAGTATAGCAATGGCATGAGGATTCCCAGTACTCCTCCTACCTGATTTGACAGTTAAGGACCCTGCCTCAGCAAATTTCTGCAAGAAACCCAAGTAATATATCAAGGTAAAACGTTTAATAACTAACTAATCTTTAGTTGCCACTGGTATAATTCTGATGATCTGACTTAAGATGTCAAGTTTGCATAATGAAGCTGTGAAACTCTGTGGGCCCATTCAATGAGACCTTGCTGGTAAATACTTTTCACCATCAAAGTACCTCTTCCCTAGCCCCCTAGCACACTCCTTACACAACCCAAAACTCCTGCATTGGTTTGTCTTTTTGTGGTGCACCATGGACTGCATCATATGTTATGCTTCTGAATGAGACAACTCAATTCATGCAAAATTGCCAAAATGAAAGGAAACTTAGAAGATGAACTGGATGAGTTAAGAAAGAGTGAAAGGAGTCTTGAGCCCATTGCCAGTTCAAGAAGCAATTGATATTTCATGCTATTTCATTATTTGATAATTATTGCACATTTTAGCCAAGAATATGAAGACCATCAGGCAGGGATAGAGACAACTCACCTTGATTTGAACCAGGAAATCTCGAAGATGCTCTTTGAAACCAGGAATATCCTGATTTAGATTAAATAGTCCAGCCACAGTGATCTTGATCTGGTTATCAGTGAGATGGGGGAAAGCCACTTTCAGGAGGCTGGCAACATGATTCTAGATGCAAGAAAAATGCCACTCTTTATGCCTTAGACCCACATTTTAAAGTACTGAAAGCTAACAGACAGATATTAAAGAAGTCCTTACCTGAATGAATGCGACATTTCCTCCTGGATTGTTGGGGGAGTCAGGGTTGAGGGACACAATGATTTTACCACTTTCTATCAAGCTGAACATGTAAGCCAGGATTGATGCGTGCATAGTCAAATCTGGAAAAGATTAAAATGATTTTTGAGCATTACCTGCATTGCTCAAGAGCAATATGAAAATTAAGGTAGGACAAGTGCACACTGAAGTGCTGGAGTCTTGAAGCACTCACTGGCAGTATGAGATGTGTCTGTTACTACAGAAAAGAGATGCTGAAGGATTTCTGTGAAGTAGGTTTGGTAGAAACTCTGTGCTGTGTCATGGGCACTGATATTCTGCAGCAGCGTCAGCAGAATCTACAGTGAGAATGAAAAAAAGAACATAAATGCTGGAAAGGTACTTGATTACATACAAAAAAAGAGGATTAAGGAAGGAGATATAACAAACCTGGAGGCCAGTTTCAGCTACATTGCGCATGGTATGCTTGAATGCCCATATGATAGCATCCATGACCAATTTGAACTGAGCCCCTGGGGTTTTCAAGAATGCTTGAAAACAGTGGGTGATAACAGCCTGTAACACAGAAATAGGCATCATCAATGTCAATGCCTTTGTAATCATCAGTTTAGAAGACAAGAACTTTGCTTGTTACAAGTACCTGAAGGAGAACATAGAAATTTGTTCTATGCTCAGGGAACTCTTCAAAGTCCTTGTTGATCATATCAAGGGTGCATGCAAACACAGCATCAAAAATCTTGGGCACTTCAGATGTAATGTGGCTTTGCAAGGTGTTTACTATTGTTGCCATTGTGTTCAGGACTTCTGGCTCTCGTGCAGATGGAACAGGACATCTTGCGTAGTCCAGGAGCACAGCATCCAATAATGGAGGAATGAAATTCTCGAGCACCTACGACACATCAATGAAAAGGCTCACCTTCATATTCCAAAATATGCCCAACATCAACACTCAGGAATTGAGAAATGAGACCCATTCTTGTTCATCATCAAAATGCAATGTCACATATGCATGCACATGTTGCACTCCACCTTCTCAAATATCATTTCTGTAGCACTCCAATACCAAATCCTTAAAACAAAATACCCTGAATTTTCCAGGGTTGAAGTCAATATTTCTCCAAGTGAAAGAGCAAACCAAATATTTAATGTCTGCATTTTAACAGAACAAACAGATGAGAGCTGAAAACCTCAAACTTTTTTTATCTTCTTGCTCAGAGTCTTCTGATTAGGAGTTTTATTTTTACTCCTCAATTCTTCCCTTGTGCCTTATTTTCGTTTCAATTGAGCATATGCTCATCTCCCGATATTGCTCAAGTATGATGTTGGTGGGCAGTCAGCAATAAAAAAAAACTGGTCATATAACAATTTCACAAGTTATGTGGCACATGGTTACAGAGTAACATCCTGCCACTCTTGGCTGAAGTCAATTATGAAAGACTTGGTCGTGCCGTGTCCTTTTCGGTGTTAAAATCAAAGTTGGCTGATTCAAAGTCGACTTGGGGTTGTAAGTGTTATGTTACTATAACACTACATGCATTACCAGTAAATACCAGTAACATTTTTGCTATTACTTACCAATAATATTAATTTTAAATTGCCAATGAAGAAAATATTTTCTTGCCTGTCAGCAGTATATATAGATTAGAAAAAATGACATTTTCAAAATGAAATCCTTTTTCTTTTCTAAGGAGTAAGCCACAACCAATAATATTGATGCATGAGCATCATCCTTGGTGTGGGCAAGAGTGGTGGAACTGAGAAAAAATTTCATATTGTGCAGGATTCTGCTTGGGTGCAAAGGCTATGCTTTCTCTTGTATAAGGTTCCTACAGCAGTTGAAAGCTTCTATACTTCATTTCATCTTTTCATATGAACCCATCTACTCCATCGTGCATAAAAACATACTCAATAATTGCTAGTTCAGTTGTTGTGGTCTGCCGACCTCAACTGTCTGAATTCACTGCCCAGAACCCATGGGATATCAAAATGGAGGTGTACCCTGCACAACATGCCAATCTATTGGAATTGATGGACTGCAATATTCAGAGTATTACTCTAAACATATACACAATAAAAGAGAAGAAAATAAGAGGGGAATCCATTTCAAAGTTCAGTGCAGCAGCAGAAGTATGCTTCATGAAATAACGGAATAAAACTGAATTGAACTTATATAACAATGTTCTTGGGCAGAGCTCTGAGCAACATGCAATGAACTTAATTTGAGTAAATGCATTCTTATGGGATATGTCCCTTGATGCTTAAGTTTCAGACTTCTATCCAAAGAAGTTTCCTCTCTTTGCTGCAAGATAAGAAAGTAGTGTTCATGCTAGGGCTGTTCTCTAACAAAATTAACTTGCATGGTTTATTATCTGGCTTTCCAAATAAAATTTTGAGAATGCACTTACATGATCACAATGTGAGGCTGGGATTTGCCTCTCACAGTGTGCAAAAGCAAAATGCAGCATGAAAGCAATTTAACTAACCATTTGAGGATCAGTGGACTTGGAGACCCAAAGGGAAATGAGGTTGAGCGTCTCCTTCTTCACAACTCGCATTCCTTTGATCAATGGCTGTTTTGTTACACTCTCCCCATTGTGAGCCACTGCTGTACTAATGTTCTCACTCATTACTTTATAGACATTCAGCATATCCAGGTATATCCTTCCCATCTGTCAGTGACACAAGAGACAAATCCTTGAGTACACTGAGACACAAAATAATTTCTAGTCAAGACATCAGGACAATCTTGCTCACCTGCACAACAAAATGGTGACCAACTGCCTTTGCTGCTCTTACATTGGTCTTAAGGATGTTTGCCAGTTGCTTCACTGCATCTGGATCTTTCAGTACATCCACATTCTAAAGGAAGGAAGGAAAAGAGGACTCTTAATGAGACTATCAATAGGTTTAATTTATTTGTAGCTTTGTCTGATGGTGTTAACCATGATCAAACCTTTGCTGCTTGATTGATGATATCATCCCATACTTGATTGGGAAGCAACATGTACTTCTCTATCAGGTGCTCCTGAACAATGTGGTCTGTCTGAGCGCTGATCATGTAGCCAACTGCCTCATAAAATGTATGAACCTAAAAAAGACAAACAGAACCTAGCAATTAAACCCAGCAAAAGAAGTACTGAATTATATTATGGCACCAGAAATGTCACCTGTTGTGGTTGGAGATCACAAATGATCGTGTTGATGGTGTTGAGAATTTCGTCAATGAAAGGCTGGCTTTCCCCAACTTGCATTTGAACAAAATGCCTTTTGCATTTCTGGGCTATCTTTATGAAGGTATCACAGGCCATGTCTTGGACCCCATCGTGGGTCTCTGTGAATAGATCAATAGAATAACAGGCTGGACACTTTGCAGAATATCAGATGTCTAATGTATGAAGATGCTGGGAACTCACCATGCATAAATTCAAAGAGTTTGTTAACTACAGTCTTGAGGAATTTCCAATGTGCCCTGAGGAAGCGTGGGTACTGGCCCACTATGTACATGATGTTGGATGCAATGATGGCTTTGTTGTCCTTCCCCTTTTTCTGCTCGCAAAGCCCCAAAAGATCCCGAATCACAGTGACCAGGAACCTCTTCTCATCCTCTTCATGCATTGCACCAGAAATGGACCCTATCGCCCAGCACAACTGCAAGCAAGAACCACTTCCATGAAATCGTGAGTTGAAGTAAGACGAAATGCTGCATGAGGGTAAACAAAAGGTGGGTAAAGGAGAAGAGACTTCTCTTTGAAACTGAGGAGGAAATGGGGGATAGGGCTGTTGGAGAGTGAAGAAAGGCACTTTCTCTCAGGCACATGGAGAGTGCAGAGGAGTGAAGAGCACGCATCCCTTGAATGCATTCCATGTTGCCAATGTCTTACTCCCTCCCATTCACACACGGAGGCAGAGCACACACGCACGCAAACAGGGCACTTTCTCACTCTCACCCACTTGCACGAGATGGGAACTTACGGTGTTGAGGTTCTTCCACGACCATTCAGACCCATTCAATTGGTTATGCAACTTGTGAGTCATAATGCGCTCTGTTTCCGCGTAGTCCAGATGAGTCAAGTACACAAGGGTTTCCCTCATGTTCTTGTACAGGTTGATGGCATCCGTATCCTTCATGAACTCTCGAACCACTTCTCCATGTTCATTTTCCACGACCAGGACTTCCTCAGGTTTTGCCATTCGACTGATCATGATGTACCGGACCTGAGAGTAATTTCAAGCATCTCAGATGAACAAAATCCTATGGCTGACATCAGCTAGTTTCACATCTCACACATTAAGCTGAAAGAAGACTCAAGGCATCTACAAGAAACTCCTAATCTTTATGAATGCCCTTGAACAAAAAGACAAGTGTTTATAAGGAAAAATCCAGGATCACTGGTCACATAAGCCTTCATGTGATTGTTATCATGCTTAAGACATATTCATTAGGTAAGCCATAGTAATTTAGTAATCTTAATTTGCCACACCTTTTTTTGGGGCATTGGCTGAGATGCACATGATAACCAAGAAAGTCACAAATGACTCAAGTATGGTTCATTAAAAAAAATAATAGGATGAACTATTATTATTTTGAAGATGAGGCATGATGGGGAATACCTTGACAAGGACATCCTGATAGATGAGCCGTCGAGGGGGCATATTAGAGGCAGTCTTCGAAAGAAAAAGAGGTGAAGAGGGCATGTTGATGGGGCTCTCTCTATATAAATCAGCTGCCAATGCATTCCAATACTCCAAGCATACTTTGAAAATCTCAGTGTCCTCCACTTCCGATATGAGAACCAGATACACAAGGGCCTATAAATGAAGACAATAATTTAAATCAAAGGAAAAGCAGCAATAATACAGTGTCTAAGTCATCACAGCTTCCTCACTGTCATCAGTGTATCGTTCAAGCCCTTTGTCTCCACTAGATTTCCATGTTCCTTCAAAAATGTGCAGAGGAAGAGGGCCAGGTTTTGAATGAACTTCTGCTCTGAGTCTTCACCAACAGCATATGCATCTTTGATGTTTGTTGATGTTGGAAGCATCTGTTGATAACCAGGTGTTTTAGAATGATGTAAATTCTCAGAAAAAAGCATCAAGAGCACATATAAATTCTCACCTGCTCAAGCTGTTGCATGGTCTGTGTGAAAAGGACAATATACATTTCATCATAGTGTGGACCATTGATGCCAGCAATCTCTGTCAGGCAGTGCAGGGTGACATTCCGAAATATAGGGACAGGGAGGAACTGAAAGTTAAAAAAAATCATGTTGACCACAATGAAATAATCATCAATGAGCATTTTATAGAACATGCCAATGACCTCCACACAGATTCTCCAAAGTGCTAGTGGGATCGGGACCAGTCCCATTCATGGAGATGTTCCAAAATTCAATGAGCTACAACAAATTCTATCCCTACATCACAGGTGAAGCTGGCTTGTAGCAAATTGGATATATGAAGACTCCTTTTAGCAAAGCCTGTGTATCTTACTGGATAACAATATAAAATCTTTTCCAAAAAGAGTCTATTCCTAGAAGTGTCTAATTTTGTCATAGGGAACAAAGGAAATCTCAACCTTGTAAATGAGAGTAGTGATCAGCTTCGTCTCAAAAATGTACCCAAGAGGAATCCAGTTGAGGAATCTCAGCAATGTCTCCAGAGTTGCACCAACTAGAGGGATGTTCTGGGAGTTATCCTACAGAGAAGAGATTTGTATCAAATAAAAGCATACTGATGTGGGGCTTTCTATTAGCATCATTTGAAATGAAGATTATTATAACACTGGAAGTCACTCACAAGAACGAATTGACAGAGCTGGAAAATCTGCGAAAACTCAGCACACATAGTGTCCTTCATGTGCTTCGCTTTTGTTTGGGTCATTTGACCACCAGAAAAATCAAACACCTCTTCAGAAAGGAGTTTCAAGATGGCCATGTTATTCTGACACAGACTCTCATTTGTCTTGCTGGCACCCACGATGTCAGGGATGAAAGACTCCCAATTCTTTGGCCATTCTCTCTTCAAGATCTGATGACACATGGAAATAATTAAAACATTTCATGGTTACTTCATGGCAAACCATTGGTAAACCTCAATGAACACAACAAACACAAAAAACAATAGACCACTGTCAGAGACAGACAAGAGGATTGATGTGTAGGCCAACAACTCACATCTTCCAGAAATTACTAATTATCACACTTCCCTACAAAAGGGATTCCAGCTTCCTCAGTTTTTAAAATACAAAATCAAACAATCTCAAAGCTCACCTGCACAAGGATCATGTTCATTTTGTTGAGATATACTTTCTCCCTTTCTAGTGTCTGTGGGTCTGATGAAGTTTTTATGATCAGGGCCACTATATACTTCTTGATGCCTAGAACAGATGAAAGGACAAAAAACCAAACCCCATTGTTAACAACTTAATATGCTCTTCATAGACTTGTACAAGAGTTTTAATGCTTTTAATGCATAAATGTTCCATTTAGAAACTGATTTTAATAAATTTTTCTAGCTTGACAGATTCTCCTCTCTAGGATAACAACTATAACAAATATACCCCACTCTTCAAGTTTCCTTATGGCTTGTTTGTAGTGTTTACATTTCAGTTTCTGCATGTATCTAGAGCAGATCAAAGAGAGGGAACTTTGAAGTTTTTGAAAATTTGATGAGTGAGTAAATTTCATAACATATTTCCACAGCTATTTCCCTCAATTTTTGCAAGTTAGTTCATGGAAAATAGCATAGAAATGTAATGCACAATGAAAAATATTGATTTTATTGTTAGAAGAACTTACACATGATTTAACATGTTCACTACAGGGGAGTTATTTTATCAAAATATTTTTATGCATGTGTGTCATCAGCATTGAATGTGCTAAAGTTACAAAATTTTGTTTATTTTTTATGATTAAAAATTGAATCTACTTTCATTTGAGAAAATTGCTTAAGCTACTCATTAAAGTTTTTTATTTTCACAATTGGAGATTTTTCACATGAAAAGTTATATTTGAATATAATTGCTTCGACTTTCAAAGTCTGCATATGCCAATTTGAGTTTTTTCATTCCCACACATAAATAATTAAAAAAATGCATGACTCCAACACTTTTGTATGCATGGGGTTGTGCTTCCCATACATTATTCTAGACCAGGGATCTCAAACTTGTGGCCCACGGGCCACATACATCCTGCGAACACTCTCAATGTGGCTCGTGACCCACCTGCATACACCAAGAGAGAAACATTTCAGGCCCAATATCCACAATTGAAGAAAACCTTCAGACTTTTTCCACTTTGGCCCACAGAGAGGTCCGATCCTGACGGTGTGGCCTACACACTGAAATGAATTTGAGACCTCTGCTCTAAACATATCAACTCATTTTTAGAAAAAAAATAACAGTAATGCTTTGATTCCATATCTTCAGGAAATCTCCAGAAACAAAAATGATCTGAATCATTAATTCAAGTCAAAATCTGAGTCTGAATGAAGCTTATTATTGACAATTTTCTCTTTTGATAGCTTGTGGTGAGCCATGTTTACTCAAATGCAGCTGAATAGCTAATAGAAGTTACCACATTATGCCACCAGACTAGGATTTGAAATGTGACATCAACATGTCAGGACAGGTGCTGGATAATAATGAGAAAATGTGAAATGAGATATCTTGGGCATGGACTCCAAAATTAATTACAATTTAGTTGTGTAGCGTTGAAAATGACAGTAAAAAAAGCTGCTATCAGTAATCAATGGGATATATATACATTAGATCTATGCATTGTTGAATCCACAAAACTAAATGGAATACTTTTCTTGTGCATACATATACATTTAGGTATGAAATATTAAAGTCCCACAAGAAGTTTTAGCTAACATACTTCTTCATACAGGATTATATATACAGGGTGTCCCAAAACTATGGACTTGTATGGTAATCTCAAGGCAAAAGTCAACATTTAAAAGATTTGAGTGATACCAGTTGTGTCACAAATTATACAAAGCAACTTGTTCATTAACCAAACTTATTACTTAAATGCAAATATGAAGTCTCATAAGTAGTGTCCACTCAAATTTTTTAAGTGTAAAACTTTTGCTTTGAGATAGTCCTATGATTCCAGAGTTTTGGGGCACTGTGTAGCAAGCAGAGTTAAAAGGCAGCTTCTCCAAGAGTAAAAAAATGTAATTCACATATCATCCCTGTTTCTTCAACTCCCTTCATGTCATCCCACATTGATGCATTACACCAAGTACAAAGCAATGGGGACTTCCCCATCAGTCCACTTAATTGATCAATTTGCACAAGTTGCATCCATGTCAATTAAAGCATGTGGACTTCCTTGAGATTTCCATTCTCACTTTAATTCTTTATCTTGTATCATGCAGAATATTTTTTCCATGGTCAAAGGAGAATTAGATTATTTTTTAAAGTTGAAGGGCAGCAGTTTACAACAAAGATAGTAATTTAAAATAGAAGTTCTGGGAAAAACACCTTTCAGTCTTTTTTTCCACTGCTTTCCTTATAAGGACAAGTAATCTCTTCAATGGGCTACATAGGCCCAATTCAAATGGAGAAGCCTCTGTGCAAGAGTGTGCAGCTAAACTCGATCCCTAAACAGATAGGCTTTACCCCATGTGGATAGACACCAATCACTTGTTCCATTGCTGGCCATATCAGAAAAAAAAACCTAACCAAATGGCAATTGAACTCAATACTTTGCATGAGAAACCAAATGAAATAAGTATATGTAAAGCATTTTCAAAAATGCAGTCATACAAGGCTCAGGCACTGCAAATAATAAATTTAAAAAGTGAAAAGTATAATGTGCAGGACATTCCAAGTAATCCAATTCTGTCATTTTGAACTCTTAAAAAAATATTCGTGAATGAAAAAAGTTTTACCTTCACGTTGGTTAAGTGGCAAGATTTTCCAGCGGGTCTTGATGACATTCTCCAGGATTTGGAGGGCATAATATTTGGTTTGCTGGTTCTGAGAATATTCAAGAATGGCATCCACTCGCATCCAGGCATCAGGCTGCTCTTTCAAAGTAGTGAGGATCTCTTGTGCCACCTTTTGCTGCATTAAAAATTTTAATGAGCATAGGCTCAACTCCATAGCATCACCCATATGAAAATATAATATATGATATGGGACATATAAGGTCTATCATATATATTATATTAACATATATGGGAAAAATATCTGATGATATCTTCTTATTGAAACAATGAATACATGATCGTATACGACTAGACCATATAAGAATTTTATAAAAAGCACGTATGCAAAAGATATGGAGCAGATAAGATACTTGTATGACTTGGTATGACTTTTTAAGAGACATGACCAAATCAGGTATGAAACATACATGAAATCATTTTACTCTCATAAGTCTCTCCCAACTGTCAAAAATTGTTTCAGGAACTAAGCTGAGAATTGGCACTTCATCTGTCACTTTTCTGTGAAAATGCAAAAACTTTTCACTTCCAACACAGCACAAGTACATCCCAAAGATATCCCCTTGTAACATGTGAGAAGTCCCTAAAATAACTACTAGGAACTTCTCAGCATTATCATGGATGCCTTTCTAAAACAGATTCATTTCCTGCCATACTAGATTACATTTTATTTTTTAAGGGTTGTTCTGTATGGTATTCTTCGACTGAAGATTTCTAAAAGACATCTCTAAGAAGTTCCAAAGTCCCTTTTGGGATGTTGGAAATCATCCAACTGAAGATGTCCTTAAGACATCCCATAAATACCTTGGGACAAGTTGTTCAATAAGGTACATCCTTGGGATATCACCATGCAGTGTGGATATGACTATATCATATAAATTGTATACCGTACCTTATGCATATGAGATATATATTTCTAGCAACATATTTTATGAAATATGCATGCTGAACATACAGTTATACAGTTTATATAACATATACAGTTTACACAGTTTAAGTCCTTCATAAATATCATAAACTTAAACCAAGTACATCATCGTACATGCAGGAGCCCATTCCTCAAACCACAGAAATATTATATATATGGAATATATATGCTGCCCAGTTATGTTTATGAGAATAATCCTAACATGGATCATATGCTTCAACCATATATGCCCTCATATATGTGTGCTCATATTTCAATCCATGAAAATATATGAATTTATATGGCACAGATAAATGCATAAAGCTACCACATATGATCTTTCTGTTTGGGCAACCATGTATAAAAAACCTGAGTGTAGAGTAGAAAATTAATATGTAGTTAAGTGGTTCATTGAAAGGTGAAGGTCTGAAGGAAGAAAACAGTTTCCATGATCTAACACTGAAAGGAGCAAGACTAATCAAAGAGAAATGCTACTAATGATTTTTTTTAATGCTACATTGTCATAAATTTATGTATTGTGGAATCTTAAGATGACAAAATTACTAGAAGGGGAATCTCAAATACCAGGTAAGCATCCCAAAGAACCTCAGGAGTCTACAACCTATGACTTTAATTCTCTTTTCTTTAGCACGTGGATCTTCACTTCTTGTCAAGGCAGGCAACTCTAACCATGATATTACTTAGCAGCTACATTAAAAAAGTCTTAATTGCAACTGGTATTACAAAATGATAGATTCTTCATAGGATTGCTGTGAAATATAATATGCTGTAAACCAACTACAATCTTTGCCATGACTTGACAAAACTCCTGTTCAAAATTGAATGCAGCACAATATGTTTTTATGGTTCTACTGTTCCCATTGTGATCAGATTACAAAACAAAGCTGTGTGACCTATCCTGTATCAGTTCCTCAATTTTTGCTATTTTTACCCTTTTACGTCTTTATTGCATTTTTGTCCATTGTGGTGCCCTCTCTGTGACCATAACATCTTCATGTTTTTATCTGTTTTTTTTTATTTTTTTATTTCCTTTCTTCTGACCCATTTTTGTTTCCGTACTTGTATCCCTGATGCAGGAGACCAATTTGCTTTTGAACTACTCCTCCCATTTGAAATAAACCCTTCATCATCAAATGTACACATGTAATATTCAAAACTAATGTGCTGAAAGTGGTATCATTATACAGCACCTAAAAGAGTGTTCAATTCATATATTTTTAGATTAACAATAGGGATATTTGCATTGACAAATGCAAACTTTTTAAATTTTTACAGCACAAGTAAAAACTATAAGAAAATAAGACACTGAATAGGATAAAATAGGATAAATCCCTCTCAAGGCTAGGCCTATATGCCATGACAGCATATATGACTGATATGGTTTACATTGATATTGGATATAGGTCAACAATAGCAATAGACACCCTCTATTGGTGAACTTGGGAAACTCAATAGGCTAATGTGGTCCACAATAACTGGATTTCCCTGAAAATGGATATTCACATTGCAAGCAGCAAGGGTTTAGGCTATTCCATAGTGATAGAGAGGATATCCTAAAGCATATTTACTTGTATTTTTCTCAATTCAAATTTTCAATTCTTGGCAGCAGAAGGAACAGAAAAGTAAATGAATAGAGGCAAATTGGCTTCCCTGATTTCTGTCAGCATTCATCTGACAATTTTCCCTTCATATATTCCATTATAGATTACATCAGATATTAAATAGAATATAATAGCATTTGATCTGTTTGTACAACAATCGCAACAGCTGGGAATGATGAAGAATGAATTGCACGATGGTTCCAGCACAGAGATTGTTTCTGTCTTGAGTTGAACAGCTTATCATTGCTTATTTGTTATTTTTGTCCCCATTTGTTCCTTCAGCACGTGAGGTTTCACGTATTCCCATAGGCAAGTGCTGATATAATTTTGTTCCTTCAGCTTGTTTCCTGTTTCAATGCCTTTTTTTATTCAAAGCTTCCCATTGATAGCCATTCCCTAGTCTCTGTATGTTTGTCTATCTCTCAAACCCTCCTCTGTTATGCTATTCATACCGAATTCAATTAGATTAGAATTCTCTTCAAAAGTATAAGTGCTAGCCTGAAAGAAAAGAGAAACATGGCTGGTTGCTAAAACACTTTAGTTATGAAAAAAATGTCAGAGGGTGCCAGATTAATGCAAACAATCATCTAGGACCACATCAGAATAAAAACATTTTCCCTCTTTTTCAACAACTTGCTGAAACTGTAAATGTGCAGAGATTAATTTACAGTGATGATATTCCTAATGCCTCCACCTCCATCACCTCTTACCCTCTCTATTACAATCACTCAATAAAGTAGTTATTATTAGTTGATGAGCACTTAGATAAACATTAACCAAGGCAGACTTAAACAAGGATCAGTATCATACCTGCTCTCCAGCTCCATTGTACATGCAACCAACAACATTATCTAGCAAGTTGATGTCCAACTTCTGATTGAAGTCAAGGAGCTTTGTAGCCTGCTCAGTCAGCATAGCCATTTTCATGCCTCAGAGAGCCAGACATTGAAAGGTCAACGGCAATAACTGTGGGAGAATATAATAGCAATGTTATAACAGTCAGGGATAAGAGATCACTCATTCAGTTTAACCTTAAGAGGCCTACGAGGTACTTTTGGCAATCAACAAAAAAAAGTTTCAGCTCACAAGCGTTTAAAAACGGCATTCTGAAAACGCTAATATATAATGGTGATGCTCAAAGTTACCACTCAGCCTATTTCATAGAGGCTGGGTCAACGCCAATTTGGAAGGTTAAGACTAAGGCATCGGCCTATGACTAAGTTATGCAAAGGTAACATTCACCAAGATTGAAATCACAGGCTTGTGACATAAGGCTTCGCCTAGCTCCATGGTAAAGAGCTAGCCCAGGCCTGCATTGGAGTCTTAACTTAAGTCTTGCAAAGGCGTCTGCTGTGCCTGGGCCAAGCTAACGGATCGGGACTCGTATGAAATTCGCTTTTACGCATATAGAAGGATTAAGAGTAGGAATGAGGACTTATCACATGAAGTTTTCCATGAAAACACGAGAAAGAGAGGAAGGAGGGGTTTACAGGAGCAACAACGACTAGGAAAGCTAAGAACCAGTACCAGGACAAGCAGTGGATGAAAACGCGAGCGCTTGTCGCCATGACTGCGCATGAGCACCCCCGATTCCCCCCTCATTCGCCTCCCTTTTTGTGACGCAAAACCCTGCCATGCGGGAAGCGTGTGATCGGTACGTCTGGTTCTGCGAGGGTAGGCTTTACCTCAAGGACTTTCCTGGAAATGCATGCAAAAACGCACAAATATGATACTGGAAAAAAAAATTTAGACGCGAAATGCACGTCGTCGACGTAGTCTCTGGAAAGCTGATAAAATGTTCAGTTGTTTATATTCCAACTCCCATCAGTTATCTTAATGCAAACAAAGAAACGTTTTGTTGCGAACGCGTAGCCTAGAAAAGAGAAAATCTGAGTTGTCCAAATTCTGTTGATCTTGACGAGACCAAGAGCATGTGCGAGGTGATGATGTGGCTGTTCCTTTTCATGGCTGTCTCTTCGACGCTGAGCCAGGAAGACGAAACAGATAAAAGCTCTGTAGTTCTAACGGATCTATCAGATGTTTCCAAATCAGCCAGTGAGTCGAACGATGCTGTCTCCTGATCTTGACCATCTCGATCATCCCTTGCGATACTTCCTAAACCATTTCTTATCATTCTTATTTCCTCTTTTCTACTTGATTCTCGAAGAACTGGACATGGATGATGCAGAGGAAGAAGAGAGGATGGAAGGTTTGCGGAAGGAGAGAGAATTGAAAATTGTGATTTCCGATGCAGGGTCCCTGGGTCTGATGAACAGTGATCACACAAATGAAGTGAAGAAGGAGGAGAAGGGAGAGGTAGAAGCTGATATTCGTCCCTTGAACAATGAGATCAATGCCCTTCGATCGGGATCAGAAAGCGGGATTCCCCGACGGCTTTGCAAGGCCAGAAAGGCAGACAAGATCAAAGGGGACCACAGTTACAATAAATTCAGCAAGGAAAAAGAGACAGATCAGGAGTCCGAGTCGGCATCACCTTCCTCATCGACAGGAGAGGACAAGAAACAAAAGCAACAGTTGATTTCCTTTCGGCAAGGAGAATCGGTGAATGCGGCGCTTCTTCGACGACGTCGCCGAAGTCCCGACTCCGAGAAGATCCTTGTCATCGATTCGGCTCGTGGTAATGCACTAGATATTTCTCCAGAAAAAGCCTCGTTCCCAATAGAGGATCCTTTCAACCAGGCAGTTCTGAACGAAGTTCAGACGTCAAAAGATGAAGTTGGATCGGAAGGAGTAGGCCATTCCATGGCGTGTCGATCTGTTCACTCGATGAAACCAAGAAATCCAAACGGTTTTCCTAGGAAGGTCGTATTGGATCTTCGCTCTTTTCCTAAGCACAATGGAGTTCGATTTACCGAGGTGGATGAATTCGAGCTAAAGGAAAAGCCCCGAGAGAAGCGCTCTGTGAAGGAATCTGCCGTGCAGAAGCCACAGAAGAATCACGAGATGGTAAAATCCCTCAATGACCTCGATGAAAACAATGACCAGGGGATTGCATTCAATGCCAACGGCGAGAGAATCCTCAAACGGGTCCATCGAGCCTGAATTTCCGCTTCTACTCAATTCAAAGGCATGAGAGACGGATTCATTCACACATGATGATCATTATCAACATCTTCCTACAGTATGGTTGATTTTACCAGAATATAAATTCATGTTCCTCCGGTTATGATTCATGATTTGATATCGATATGAACGCCGTAGCTGATACTTTCTGCGGCGGGTGGAAAATACAAGGAAATCGGGCAGCACTGGGAATGCTCCTCTCATTACAGGCCTTCCTCGTCCCCCTCCAGTGCTTGTCTTCGGCGTGTATGTTCTCCTTTCTCGTCCTTGAGCTGTAGTAGGGGATCTGCGTTGAAGCATGGGGAATGGAAGGAAAGTGGAGGCGGTGGTTCGAGTGAATTGTTCCTTGGGCGAAGGACCCCATTGGGATGGTGGTTCCCAGTCTCTTGTCTTCACAGACATCCTCAATGCCACCGTGTATCGATATCATCCTGTCACTGGCCAGCTTTCTTCCACCCTCGTTCCACGAGTCGAGGGCGTCGGATTCATCGTCCCAGTGGATGGACGCGATGGGGAATACATAGTCGGGGGAGATAAGTCTTTCATTTGGCTCCACTGGGACGGATCAGACGGCGGAGGTAAAGTGAAACAAATCTTGGACACCGTTCACGAAAACCCTGGGAATCGACTGAATGATGGCAAGGCGGATCCCTTCGGCAGACTCTTCGCCGGCAAGTCCCCTTGTATCTCGCTTCCAAGAGCCATATCCTTGCTGCTCGTTATATCGTTCAAATAAATGCTTTAATAAATCCTGCATTGAATGGATCCAGGGACAATGGGATCCGAGACCTCACCTGGCGTCTTCGCTCAGGAACAGGGGGCTTTATATCTACTCAGTCCGACAACGGGGAAAGCCGAAAAGAAAGTCGAAGGCGTGACGCTATCGAATGGACTCTGTTGGTCTCAGGATAGCAGTCATTTTTTCTACATCGATTCCGTCTTGAGGAAGGTGGACGCCTTCGATTATGATCCTCTGACCGTCTCTCTCAGTGAGGAAAACGTTTCAGTTTTAGCATTGGACAGCTGCGAGAAGGTAGAGAATCTCCGATGCATCTTGCGAAAATCCTGTTGGCAGGCAATCGAAGGACGGTTTTCCACATGCCATCGCATTTACCCGAGAAGGCAGTGCCGGATGGAATGACGATCGACGCCACGGGAAGGCTTTACGTTGCCACTTTCTTCGGATCCAGAGTAAGTCGGAAAGCTGCTTTCATCTCACGAGGGTGAAGCTTTTATACCTTGCCCCGGTCACATCTGGTCAATTATCTGGTCTAAGAATCCTTTTCGATCATTATCGAGTTTCCACCATAATTCTATTATGATCGAAAAGCACGCTTCAATCCTCATAAGCCATAACTCTATTATAACTCAATAGCCTTGTAGGACTAAGACCGAAATTGCATTTTATAATCGCGATCGAAATCGAAAGCGAATCTATAATAATTGAGAGCGGCATCCACCTTTAACTGCACGAATGCCAATAGACACGGCGCAGCAGATGTTTAACCGAAGCTCGTCGTAATCTTGCGAATTGGAATTGCGACAACGTCTCTCACGAACAATGATGAACGAACACATGAGTAATGGCTCATCTTTTTTCAACCAGGGCAGAAGGGCTAGGGATAAAGGAATTCGCTGTTTTCCCCCCCTTCTATTAGTGCTTAATCTCATGATAGATATGTAAGATGCAAGAAAAGATTCGTTAGCGTGGTGGACCCAAGGGATGATCCACACTGAAGATGGGAGCCAACTTTGACGGCAGACGACGACAAACGCAGCGTGTCGTCAGTTGAATCAGTTACAGTAATCGAGTTATCGGGTCCTCTTTTGGGGGTACTTCGACACAGATTAAATTATGATTGGCGAGTCGCGATGATCGATCGTGATTGAAATGAATACCTAGGCTGGGTAAATCCTCTTCGTTGACTTTTTCGCAGATCCTGGTGATAGATGCAGAAGAGGGCCGGGAAATCGAGGAGATAAAGTTGCCAGTCGAGAACGTGACATCCTGTACTTGGGGTGGAGAGAATCTCGACCAACTTTATGTCACTTCTGCCGCCAAATTCACTGATTTGACTACCTACCCTGAGTCTGGATTTATTTACAAGGTTTGTTTTCTGAATCTTCATGCTCGTCGTTTAGAGTTGGAAGAAAATGGCAAACTTTCCGTACAAAATATATATAACACAATCTTCCATGTAACCATTTTTTGCAGATAATGGGTTTGGGAAGTCGGGGCTTTGATGGCGTCAAAGCGAAAATCCCTATTCTTGCACAGCCCTAAGGAATGATTTTCTCTGAAATTTTCTCAAGTCACCGCTTTCATTACTCGAGCATAGTATCACTTATATTCTCCCTATTTTCTTGTCATTGACAAGGCTTCGCTGCAATAAAGTTTTCCTGATGTTTGACGTGCTTTTTTTTTCACTGACGAGTTCTCGCTACAAAGAAGCTGCCATCTGTACAGACGTAAGTCTACCAGGGGCCTGTTCGTGTGCTCGTTTGACCTTTGATGCATACGAAGAGAACATAGCGTGGGGAAAGGCCACTCAGCAGCCAAGGTGAAACTGAAGCGTGAGCGCGAGACCCTTTAAGGAAACTGGAGTAAAACTGCCGTTTCAACTGCTGATGCCTAACTTTGGATGATTTAAGACAGTGGTGCACAACCTTTTCCCCCTAGAGGGCCAAATTGAGACTTCGGCTCATGTTCGAGGGCCTGCGGCCCTTGAACCCCTCGAACATGAGCCGAAATAGACCACATATAAATATGGATCTTTAGAGACCGAAGGCATCCAAGGGGGCGCAAAAAAGGCCTCCGCGGCCCGCAGGTTGTGCATCCCTTACATTTGACCAATATTGAGGAAAGTTGAAGTAAATGCTTTGTGCGTCAATATATGCTGGGCGACATTTATATATATTGGGCAGGCGACAGCACATGACAGGGCTCGTGACGCTGCATGAGACATGCCAACCCTAAAGCTGATGTGGCCGGTGAGAGGTAATATGAAATTCTCTCTCGGGGCTTCGACCCGCGACTTGCGCGAAGAGGCTCTGAATTCCATGAGCTTGGCCTCAGTGTAGAGTCCTAAACGGGCTGCGGGTCGGCCCGATTGACCCGACCCGATCTGCTGGGCGTTTCGGGCTCGAATTCCAAATATTTCTCTTCGATTCGGGTCGGATCTGGCTGAATTTTTCTTAATTTTTTTTCTTCGAATCTTGCCTCTGAGCTGGGACTATGGATATTCTGATCAGGCCTGGAACGCGTTAATGCATTCGTCCATGCGAAGGAGAATCTCTTATGCAACTGCGAAGTAAATCAAGAATAGCGGAATCTGAGAGGCGAAGGGGGCAGCTGTCTTGAGCCGGTGCCATTTAGATGGGAGCTGTCGGACTTCTGCGCTTCCAGGAAATTTTCTCATGCGAGAAAACATCCCCTTTCCTGCACGTGGAATTGAAATGCCAGTACAACACCTTGCGATCGCATGATAAAGGTCAATTTGGCTTCTGAGTCATTGCAATGCGAGACATCTTTTGAGGTCGAAGATATGAAAAAGGAAACGGAAAATCTGAATTCAGGGTTGCATTGCGTGTCGAATGTAGCCAATTTCAGTGTGGCCGGTGACGTAACTGAAGAACGTCGTGCGTCTGGTTTAACGCCAGAGACATTCTACGATGGCTTTTTTTTCTGCATAGCAATCAGATATGATGAAGTAAACTGGAAAACATGGGCTAACATTTTTTAAATATCGGGGTCGGAGGTGCGGGCCAAGACTCGAGAAGGGCCAATCGTGTCGGGTACCGAAAAATCGACCCGTGCAAGACTCTTCCTCGGTGTATATGAAGCGAGCAGAGACTACAGATGACATTGCGTGCGTGATGGCTCCGCCCGCAATGACGATGCTCTGAGGGAGGCCATCTCCCTCTTCGGGATTCCATCCCCTTCTCAATCCTCAAGAAAGGAACGAGTAATTCTTGTTATTAAATATAATGAGCTGAGCATAAGAATGTTATTCCAATATCCTTCACAAAATATCTCACGATATACTTCGAGCATTAACTGCAGGAGCTGCTTTGGCAATAGATTTAAAATAAACATATATAATATCTCTCTCTCTCTCTCTCTCTCTCTCTCTATATATATATATATATATATATATATATATATATATATATATATATATATATATATTTTTTACAGTTCCTGCTAGACGGATGAGAATAGTGTTCCCATTCGCAAGCTTTTCAAGAGAAAAGGTTGTGAGAACACCGTTCACGCTCGCTCTCGCTTACTTTCTTCATTTCTTTTCTTTCCAAGATTCAAAACAAAGCCTCTCGAGGAGTATGTCATGGCTAGTACACAATTCAAAATAAAAACTGAGCTCTAACGTAGCAGGTGGCACGTAGATCCATCTTCCAGATGATATCCATCTTTCAACCTTTTCCGGGCAGATACACGTGCAAGAGCTGTCAGTGCCTGTGTCCCAGTTTTTCCTCACGTGATTGCAAAAACAAGAGGCGCGATTTCGATCGCTCGTTTTAGGCAAACGCCCCTTCTCGCCTCCCACTCAGTTTCTCATCACCAGATGTCCCACTTTAGGTGCCCAGAGGCTATCAGCTTTCTAAAATCATTTGCAAATAAATTCGTACCACCTTTAACAGGGCTCCGTGAGCCTAATATGATTTCTATCATGGGGAGTTTACCCTCACTGCCTTGGATGCATCAAAGAAATAACATCACCCAATGTAAAAGGTAGTCTGAATTCGTTGGGAATGACAATATAAACCTGAATGTCTTCCCAGTGCCCTGACCTCCAGCCTTAAATCTTTCTAGCCACTTTCATCCTAGTTGAAATCGGAGTGAGAGGTTCATTGCACAGCGCGGGAGAAATTTGAATTCAAATAAAGATAAGCAGGAGTGTACTCGAAACACGCCTTGATACAGCTTTTAAACGTATTTTCCTCGTTGCAAAATACATAACTGTCACCTCTAAGTTCTAGGGTAGGTTATCTCCAACTCTCAAGAATAGTTTTCGGATTTTCTGCGATATTTTGGCCCCAATGATACGTGGGTTTAAGCATGTGTTTGTGCGCGCGCGCACGCGGGTGTGTATATGTGTGTATCAAGACATTGGATTCCTTCTCTTGAAGGGAAGGTGAGACCGGCGGGTGGGAACTCGACTCCGAAACCGATTTCGATTCTGGGTAAAATCTCTGTACGTAGAAGAATAATCAATACTGAGTATTTGCAAAATTTGTTGGAAACAGATATCTCTCCTGTTGTGTCCTCCAAAAATTAATTGAATTAAAAGAAAACTATGAGAAGGGCTGCGTCGCAATTCAAGGATATCATGTAACATATTTAAAAACTCATCAGATCAAATTTCCGACCTTGTTAAATTGCATCTCTGCAATTACCTTCATTCTTCGTGTATTAGAGGATACGCCGGAAAGTAAGAGCTCAGGAGAGGCACACTTCATCTCATGGAAAACCACGTTTTAGCAGTGCCAATATCAGACGCAATTTTACGATGGAAATTATTGGGAGATCAAGTGCGGCTTGCACCGGTGGGGGGCGGGAGAGGGGGATGGCAGACAGGAAAATTCCTCTTTACCTCGCTGCTCAGGCAGTTTCAACGAACGCTCTCTGGTGTTTTCGCCATGAGTTCTCACGCCTATAAGGGCACTGCTGCTATTGGTGTTTCGATTCTAAAGACACCTATTGAATACCAGATAGATTTTACGTAAGACAGGAGGAAACGTTAGTTCCGCTGGTTTTGGTAGACCGGAAGAAAGCAATGGTTTGCAAAAGAAGGATACGGTACCTCATCGCAAAAACACTATGGTTTGACTGCAAGCCGAATCGAATAGATCATGGTTCTTGCTTGTACTGCTATAGTGATTTTCGATTGATTGATAGCCCCCCCCCCCCTTATTGGGGGAAATAGGGATTTACTTAATTCCTACTTTAGTCACTGGTTTAGTAGGAGCAGTAACTTTGAGACAGCAGATGTCGCTCAGGTGGATGACATGTAGCGTCATTCAGAAAGGGAAGGGGGGACACGATCAATTGAAAATCACTTCAGCAGCTTCCCTAGGAGGGAATCTGCTGCTTTTGTGCGACACCTAGATGACATACTTGAAAATAGCTAGTTGAAGAGGGAGCATGTAGATATCGGCTAAGGCGAGGAATTCATGGCGATGCACCTCGGCACATGTGACGATACGGCAAGTTCGTGAGAGGTGTTACAAGTCAACAATTCAGTTCACATCATGCCCTCTGTATTGCTCACAGAATCCATCGCACTCGAGTTAGGAGGTACGACTGATTGAAGACCTCAAACACTCACCTCTTCCATAAGTCTCAAAACGGGAGATTTGAGCGTATGGATGCACTCTGATACCTAACTCCCACCTAGAGCAAACCCTACTAAACGCGTATAAACATCACATACTGTAACCTCAGGATCCTGCGGAATCTTTGTCAAGGCTTATGATAGGCATAAATTCAGCAGGGCCTTTTTTTTTTAGGTAGACCAGGTTTTTTTCAGGGACCGGGACATTTTCAAGAAAGTACCGGAATGTTAGTCTCTGTCATGGGAAAAATTCGGGACACCAAGATGGAAATGGAAATTCAAACCGGGACGTCTGGTCACCCTACCATATGAGACTGAATTTATGAGTTGTGTCTTATTCATTACAGCCAAGGAGCCATGGCCTGATGACGTGAAGCTCTTCCAGCCCCACATTGTGGAGCAGATACTGTTGCCAGACTATGGGAACTGCCTGGCTGTGCAAGTATTCCTCAGGATGTGTGGCCTAGATTTCCAGGTGGAGATGAGAGCAAATGCTGAATTCATGTCTCCCACTGGAAAAGTCCCTTTCTTACAGTGTGGGACTTTTCTTGTTGCTGAAATGGATCCCATCATTGCATTTGTGAACAATAAGGTAAGGGAAAAAATTAATGTCAGGTTAATGTTTCATTTATGTAGAAGAAAGATTGCTTATGTTGAAATGAATTGAAATGCACTACTGTCAGTACATATCAGGTTTGGAAATTAATTGAAGTGAATGGAACGGAACCTAAGCATGTTACAAGTATAGTTATTGAGAGTATTTATTGAGAAGAAAACAGCATGATGCCTTCATATTTGAAGGATGTTCTAGAAACATGGCCTAGTTTTGCTTTCTGTGTTTATTCACTAAACTCAAAGAAGAGTTTATGACTCTTTGCTTTATTTTGATGATACTTCCTTGTTTCTTTACTTATCACATTGTGTAGAACAAAAAAGGTTTGGATGCTTTGATTTGCTGACCTTTAATGACTCAGAATAGCAGCAGAGTATGTCATTGAGATATAGACATTCATAAAAAATGTACTTTCCTTGACCATACACCCAAATCAATTTGTGATGACATGGTGAAGGTGTGTCAGGACTTTACACCTGACACATCCACTGTCTGCTGTGGAGTTGCTTATTTCAGAGAAGGAAGGATTAACCTGGAAAGTGACCTGGGGCCAGGTTGGTTGCCTATTGCTGTGACCCCAGACAATTGTGCTCTTCTCAAGACCATTATTGACACTTTGAGCCCTGTACCTGTTACTGAGGATGCATGGGTAACTCTGCATGAGAAAGCTGAAAATATGTACATCTCAATGAGGACTGTTAAGACCATTCTACATTCCTGCTTCCAAATGAGAAAGATTTGCACTAGATGGCTGCCTTGCCCCACATTCTCATAGATGCCCAGAAGGTGAAGAAGGTCTGCCATGCCACAAGAAACTCATTTGAAAATGCAGATTTCTGGTTCATTGTTGACTCATCTGGCTCATCACTGGTGATAAGCCTGAATGCTTTGTTTTTGAGCCAGAGTGGAAGGCAAGGAAGCAAGCATGGATTGCTGAAGGTGATTTACAATCAGTCATTGCAAAAACACTTGGCAAGGTGATTTACACATATATCTTCTGTTTTAATGGTCTAATTGTTCATGTCCCAAATCCAAAAGGGAAGTCAATTACAGGGCAATTCTGTACTACAGTAGTACTCTATAAGTCAAAATGTGTATTAGGAAGAGGAAACCAAATTATGGTTGCTTAGGGTTGAAGCTTCTCCATGACAATGCCACAGCACATATGTTTACAATTGTTTCTACTGCTATGGATGAACTTGGTTTGACTGTGATCCCTACCCACTGCACTTACCAATCTTGTTTCATGCCACTTCTGGTTGTTTCTGATCCTCAAGTCCATGTCAGGTTTGGAAGCACTATGACATCCAGAAATCCCTGGGCACTGCAATTTTCCAGTACTTGCAAAGTATCCCTTAACAGGATTCTGTGCAATGATTTCATATCTGAACTACTAGGATGAAAGACTTATTAAAAATGGAAGGGGAGTACATTGAAAGGATAGTGTTACTACAGTGATTTTATCTTGATTGTATCCCCCTCACCTAATGTGATGGAAACAGGATTCACTTATTTCTACCTCAGTCATTGATTTGGCTGGGGGCAGTTATTTTGAGCACAGATGTTGATCAATCAGATCATATGTGGCATTATTCAGAAGGCAGTAGGGGATACAATCAATTGAAAGTCACTGTATCACTGCATCACTGCCCTGCATTGTCCCATTCCCAATAAAGAAAGGTAGCATTCCATAATGAACACCCCTTATAAAATTAGATTGTAGTTGAATATAAGTGTGCCAATCAGTATATTGTACAACTTATGGAATGTCCAAAAGCCATTGCCTTGCAGATGTACCATGCATTTTTACAATCTTGTAGAGCTCATGATTTTGTTGCATGGAGAACACATAATAAGGTATTGATGATGCAAAATGAAATGCTACTGAAAACAATCTGGTATTTTATCTGTGTGGTCCAAAATCCTTGCAATAAATCATCTACCAGGTAGCCCAAGGAAAAGCAGCAGAGCTGGGAAAAATATAAGTTATTGAGTGTTTTAATACCAGAATACAAATGCCCTTGAAAAAATGCATTGTAAATACAAAATATAAGTAAGCCCAATAATATTATTTCAGAAATATATATTTTAAAATACAGTTGAAAATATAAAATATAAAAATTTTCAAGCTTATATAATGCCTTTCAGATTTTCTCAAAATCACTAACCCTTCAGAAGTTGACCATTGGCCTACACAGCACATTGACTGAGCATGGCATTCTTTCTGAATCCCAGACTGCTCCTCTTTAGACCATTTTTAATCCTCAATGAGATCTGAATGTACTCTCTGAAAGCAAAAAAACAGAAATTTCTGGAATCCTATCTCCTGTGGAACCATGTATAGTAAAAATAGACAGTTTTAGCTTTTTCTTATAGACCACCATTTAAGTTGCCCTTTTTAGAAAGGGAAAAATCTTTACCAGTGTCACTCCTATAGCAGATGCATTTAATCTTTTCAATTACTCCATTACCTCATAATTGATCATATTTACTAGCCCTTCATTCTGAAAATTCCATTATTTATGGATTTTCCTACCCATCTCCCATATTATAGTTCATGAGCCCCTTGTCTTGTTGTAGGGACATAAAGAGCTGTGTCTGGATGTTTTCCTGAGAGTAAATTGAAATTAAAATTGAATTCAGATGTTTTGAACATTTATCTATTTTTTTTAGGGGATCAGTCTTTCTAGTGATCTGGACAACAGCCAGCGTGCAGATATGAAAGCTTACATGTCACTCATCAATGACACACTCTATAATGCAGAGGTGAAGCAATTGCCCTGGCTACTTGATATAGAGGAAATTTTAAGTTCCAAGTGCAATTATATTTGTTATCCTTGTATAGTTGTACATATCCTGGGTGGATGACTTAATATATGAAGAAGTGACCAAACCTCGTTATGGATCAGTTTTCCCTTGGCCACTAAACAAAGTCATACCCTGGCAGAGGAAGCGCCAGATGGTCAAACGCCTCAGTCACCTTGGATGGGGACAGAAAACCTCTGAGCAAGTAAGAAATGCTTCTAGTGCAGATTTAATCCTGTTTACCTGCCAATTTATCTTTTTTGATCAAGGATGAGGTTGCATGTATTTCTTTTACTATTTCTCTTCTCAGGTCTATCAAGAAGTTGATAAGTGCTGTCATGCCCTTTCAGAAAGACTTGGCACCAACCAAAAGTATTTCTTTGGCAGGTTAGTAAGCCACGAGGATAGTTTTAATATTACATTCATGATGTGAAACTACAGCTTTACTGACCTTGTTGTTATTGTGATTGACAGAGCCACAGAGTTGGATGCCCTGGCATTTGGGCACTTGTACACAATCCTGACTACAGATCTTCCCGACAACCGACTGGCTTCCACCGTCCGGCATTATCAAAATCTTGTCACCCTCTGTGAGGCCATTGAGGAAGACTATTTTCCTCGTGTCACTGAGTCAGACCTCATTCCATGAGGATTTTTTAAAATCGAACCTAGTGTTGATGGGACCCCGAGAAGTTCAGTTACCTGAAGATGGATTGTCACAGTTTCAATTTATATTGTCTCTGTCATGACAAAATATGACATCTTGCAGAACATGTCATCTTAATTTACGTTTTGCAAAGACGGGTAAGTGCGCTACTTACAGAAGTATCCAGAAGTAGTTTTTTATTATTTCTTTGGGCTCTGGATGCTAGCATGTGGAGTTCATGAAAATCGCTTTCAGTGCTATATTGTGATGGATGGTTGCTTAATAAAACTAGACAGCAAAGATTAATAGAAATCCTACTTCCATTTTTTTTCGTCATATGAGTTCTGCCTGCATGTCACATGAACGGAGATACATACAATTCAGCCTCTTTTCAAAAGTTTCCATTCAGAACTCCACCGTCTTCCTCTAGTAGATTGATTGACTCCAGAGAGGGGAAACTTGAGGAAGGAAAAGAAGCCATGCCGATAATAGGCTGGGGGTCGATATAGGCTAAAGGGGAACGATTTCCTTTGTCCATGGACACAGGTTGAAAGAGGAGAGAGAAGTTGAGAAATGAAAGAGAGAAGAGAGAGGGATGAGTATCCATCCGATATGCAAGGGAGGAGGTTATTCATTGATTTATGGATGAGCTCGATTCTTCATTAGACAGAGGCTGTAATGATCAAGCCGAGGATCGGTGTTGCGTGGTCACTTGGTTGTATTCACATAGAACCTCCCTCTTCTCATATCTGTCGACTCCCGAAGCGCGTGTCCTCTTCTCGCGTCGTTTTGTCCTAATCTGAATTGCATAGATTCATCCGTAGCGTGTGTCATCAGAGGCGTCATTCTTCAAAGTTTGGGTATTTCAGAGTAACCTTTCCTTCTCTGCAGGAAACTAGAGCGAGTGCTGGTGGCGGAACGTAAACAATTGCTGGCCCGTGCGCGAACTGATGCCGCCCGCGACGGAAATGGGTATCGTTCGATCCGGTCTGTGGAAATTTATCTTCGACAGGCCCTCCGAATTAGATTCTCTGTCTCCGATGTCTGGTCGTGCGTGGCTACTCAATAAGGGCCTTGACTTAGGAAATTCTCAAATTCCTGGCATGGATTTTCGAATTTATTGCCATTTGAATTCTTTTTGAGGGGAAAAAAGCGCGAAATTGTTTGTATCGTATTCGCTTCTCAAACACTGGTCATATCTTGGTTGGTATTGGTCCAACTTGGATACGATTGCTCGTAGCCAGTACCAATGTTGAGTAAGTTTGACTAAACGCTCTAGTCAGGCCCACCCAACCGAGTCATGTTTCCGATCTTGGTTTGAACCAAATCTCTCACATTGCCAGTTTTGTCCAATACGCTCTTCAGTGATGGCTCGTGATATTTAGCCCTAGTGGCTCGTCTATGGAGAGGGGATAGACAGTGTCCTCCCCTGCCTCTCCATAGACGAACCACTGGGGCTAAATATCACGAGCCATCACCATAGCCGCCACTGATGTTCTTTGAGTGTGTACGGATAATTATTCATCCTTGCCGAAGATTTAAATAACATGTTAAAAGCTTTTCGCGAGCGTAAGATGGAAGGAAATGACACGTCGAGAAGCGGCAATGTTAGAAAACATTCAAGGAAAAACTTTTAAACCCCGAAACTACCGTTCTGGGTCCAATGGACCCTGATAGAGAAATGTAGCCATTTGTGTAGGCTGTGCCGTGAGCTTGAAAAAGTCGAATACTCGGTGTATTTTCGCGAAGACGTGATGGTAATCAGGCAAAGTATTTTGAAAAGATTCTTTGGGAATGTAGACAAAGAGTTAAACATTAGACCATCCGGGTTCTAGTAGTTACCGGGTTAATCAGTGATGGACTTGATGGAATCCAGGGGCACGAAATATGCATATCCTGAACTTCCTTGCAACTAATATCTACCTACACATTAGAAGAGCTGGACTTTCTTACGCTCTCAGAACTTCAGGACGGAGTTCTCAGCTGATATATTCATTCTCCTCTCTTTGCAGAGTTTTCAGTGATCGACACACTCATGAGACATCCTGGGATTGGGAAGAAAGTCACCGATCGGGATTCTTGGAAAAGAAATACCCTTGCTGAAGCATTGCATTGAGCATGCAAAATTCTTAGGCCAGAACCGCCCCGAAGTTTCCTCTTTGAGTGGCCCCGCGCAACGTAATAGGAGGAAGCAAAGGGAGCGAAATACTGTAGAAACCCCCGGGGAAAGGAACGATGAGAGGCGGCTGAATGGAGACAGAGTTAGAGAGAGAGGGAGACATACATACACACACATACTAGATATGAGGGATGCAAATGAGGTCTTAGGTGCCCTAGAGTAGATACTGTCGACACCTGAAACGAACTGGGTCTCGGAAGGAGGCATCAGGTGGCATAATTGGACTAATGGAATGAGAGAGACATACACACACTCTCCCCCGAGACATCACAAGGCTCAATTACCCCGTCTCCATCCCTGGAGATTCGCAGCTTTTGACACCATAGATTCTCATGAATACTGCATATGCCCTTCCCTCCTTTTCCCGTAATTATGGCGCTGACCCGACCAGGGTGAAAGAGGGTAAAAGTCACGAGGGGGGAAGGGAGGGGAGGGGGAGAGATATTTGATAGAAAGGGAAGTTGTCAATAATTGGCGGGTAGAAAGCTCGCAATCGGGTCATTAAGCCGGCTTTTCTCGGACGGATGGCAGACAGAAAGAGAGCAACCAATCCGGGGATATACCTGATGCGATGAGTGAATGGCCAGCCGGTCTCCTGTCGTTCCTCAACGTGCACGCGAAGGCACGACTTGTCATCTTCCTTCATGCTTTTCTTTGTTCTGCACGTCCTAATCTCCTGACGATCCAGCCAGTTTTCATCTCCCAGTCGGAAAAACAGGCACAAGGCAACGGAAGGGCTTAAAGAGGTTCGCTCAATTTGACTCGATCAGACGGGGTCAAAGGGAGGCTTTGTGCCTGGCCGACAGAAGACGCATAAGCAAAGGGATGGGAAGGGCAGGAATGGATAAAATTGATGTCTGGAGGAAAAATCTCTGTCCACTCGTCATGAGTCGTGGAAATTGGAATGCTTCCCCTGGGAAATGGGCATTGCCCCGTCTTCACGGAAGACAAACTTACATCCGCCTCCACCCCCTCAAAGCGGAGTAGAGATTGAGGAAGCCGCGTGATCAATGAACAATCGGATCGGAGGCAAATACTGGAAGATGTATGAGAACCGAGGGGAAACATGTCGTGATCCAAGTACCAGCTAGTCTGAAGGATAGACCCTCGTGAGCAATGACACACGAAATGATTTCCTCTCGTGACTTTGCTATCAATTAATCACCCCACTCTCTCTTCAATCTCCTTCACCTTCGAATCCACTCCCCCTTGTCAATCACCAATCCCACTCCACCCCCTCATCGAATCTGTCTTTTAATTACCTCTCCAAATATTCCATGCAAATGTGATGTTTATTGATCCAAGTTGAGAGAGGGACTCTTGGGGGTTTCTTTCACGGTTCCCCGACTCCCTTGACAGCCATTTGACTAATGACTTCTCACTCCTTTGTCGTCCGGCACACGATCTCACACAGCTGCAGCTTTACATATATACGTACATATTCGAAGCCAGCTATCCTAACTTCATGTAGTCTTGACTCGAATAGGCGGGAGAGCATCCTCCGGTGTTCCTGATCCTAGGTAACGGACTCGAGCTCAGCACGTGGAATGCCAAGCCTTTCGTGACAAACCTTCGCGATTGCAGACCTTCCACCTTGCACGAGACCTACTGGTCTTCTGCCGGTCATTTTGGATTCCAATACTTTCTTTTGGAGTATCTTGGGGGGCATGCGGGAGACGTGTCCAAATAGATGGGCTTGAGACCTCTCAACCCGAAGTTATATCTGGTCGACCTCGTGGTACTTGACCTTGAGGCACTCACATCCTCGCACTTGGCGTGACACCAGACATACACCGCAAGAACCTCATTAAGGCAGCTTGTATCCGCGAGCTGATTCTTTCGTCATTGCCCACAGTTCGTGGCCCTAGGTGAGTGTGGGAAGGTAAACACTCTAACAAACAGAGTTTCGCCTCCTTGGTGTGGAAGCCCTGGCGATGTGGCTGCCGATCTTCTTTTCTGTATCGGCCATCCCTGGGAACCAGACTCCGAGGTGCATAAATGCCACCTGTTCCAGAGAGGCTCCCCAACATGTAAGACGCACTGTACAGGCTACAACTTTTCCTTCCAAAATAGACTTTTATTTCACAGGAACTATATACATGCTATTGCCATGCTACACACTCGAGAAGATCGATTTCTACGTGAGTGAGACAAGGGAGAATATTCAGGATATCACTGCAGGTAGGCGGGGAAAAAGGCTTTTGGATCTATTATAATTCCCTTAGAAGAGGACGAAGACGATAAAGCAGATAGTGTAAAGAGAAGAGGAAGCAGATGATATGCAGAGTGGGACCATGCCTTGGCGAATGACTCCGGAATTCAGGATCTGCATGGAAATGAAGTCACACACTCGACAATGGACTCGTGCTTGATTTTCTCACTGCTTGATTCTAATTATAGGGCGTCCCCATCCTCAATCCAATGAATCGTTCCCAACCGACACAAAAGGACGCCTTTCAAGGGTTCATGAATCTCGTTAACGTTTTAATCCCTCCCTGATCGAATAAGGAAAGAGGGAAAAAATTGGAAGCATTGAATTAAGGAGGACAAATTGTCCCGGTGTGACAGGGGTGACGGGGCTACTCGTTATACGAGACGCCTTTTGTGCTCCCCCAAAAAGAAAAAAAAAAATAAGAGAGAGGGCCTCCTGGGGTGCACGCGGGGGAATTCCAGACAGTCGATATCTGTTATGGTGACATGATATATGCCACATTCTCTGGAGGAGGAATATAGCCCAATGCCCAATATGTTACCTCGTGGTAGAGCCGGAGTTTCCCGGAAGGGAGCCGGAGAATGGATGCTGTGAACGTTCACGGAAACGGTCACACTCTCCCAATAGATGTTGGAGATTGATGCCGTGCATTTCAATAACGTCCCTTGAATTCCCTGGTCTCGGACTTTCATCTCCAGCCCCAATCGTGACACTTCCAGGCCTCGAGACACCCCCAGCGGCAAGTATTCCCTCAGCATCTCACGGGGCGCCTGCACCACACAATCGCTCTTATCCTTTCCCCCGAATATATTGACAGCAACTAATACTAGTAGCTTAAAAAAGTTCATGGAAAACTGTTTTATATACATTTATAAACGTGCAAACACCATTAAAACTTGTGGGTTAGACTACTATGAACGCGGCCATACTAATGGTTTATAGTCATCAGTTGGTGCCATAAGTAGGCGACCCACCCCCTGGGCGTTTTAGACGTGGAAACTCCTGCATGACGTTGCCCTGCGCATCGAACGTTCCTGGTCCATGCATTCATTGCCAAACTTTCCTTGGTGATGTAACCATATCTGCCATGCTATCCGGACCTAGCTCCATATTATTTTCACATTGCCCTAATGATGAAGGAAAGACACGAAGATTTGCAAGTGCTGATGGAGGGAATGCGGCTGCAACGGAAGCTTTGAAGATGCTTTCGGATATTGGATTCCAAGACGCATTTGAGGTGCATGGACACTGGAAAAAGTGAGCAACTTCACTTTGAAGGAAATGTGGAAGGGTATTTATTGTGCGCCAATTTTTGTCACCATTGTTTCCACGAACTTTTTGAGGTTATCACGTACTTCGTTGAAATTCAATAAATATCTGGCACCGAACAGCAGATTTGGCTTGATCAGAACAGAGAAAAGGGGTAGGAAGGGGGCCGAACAGAATGGCTCTTCTTTCTCCTTTTCCTCTTCTTATTCAATTAATACAAGGGCTGTTCCAACATTTGATTCTAATTCACGCGGAAAACAAGACAAGGACATCTCGTCTTTCGCTTCTTATCATGGAGAGGCTATAAATCAAATCCGAGATACATACTGGATTTCCGATAAGTCCCAGCTTGTCGTAACCATCCCCTGAGATGTGGTGCAATATTTTTCACGGAATACAATGACTAAGATCCTCACCATGTTCTCGCGGATGTACCACATGAGGGAGGCCGGGGGCTGGGAAGGATACGAGGTGCAATTGGCCCGGATCCATTCCCCCACGCCGTAACTGTCTCTCAGCCCTTCCACGATTGGAGGTTTCTCGGGTGGCGCTGCAAAATTAAGTCTATTTTTGGATATCACGGTTTCTCATCTTTTTTAGAATAAAAAAAAAGTCATGCGAGAGACAATGGGGCGGAAAGTAACCGATCGGAATGGAATCTTTTATTTTAGGCATTTCTTTTTCCGATTCAGTTCGAGTGTGAATAGGTTTTCTATGTCGTCTCGAACGGTATCACAGACCAACTTGTCCACCATCATGGTCTCGACTGATCGTTACGTTGCTCTCGGGAAAAGGCGAAGAACAGATGAGTAAACATGCGTTCCCATGATTTCATCCGTCGCGAAAAAGGGAGAGCGAGGGTAAGGTAAGGTGAGGACGTCATTTATCGACGAGCTCTGGCAAGTATCCCCCCCCCCCCCTTCCCCCCATGTTGCGCGAAGATAGAGGTGGGCTCCTTCATTCCGGCATGTCTTATCTCTATGTGAGGATTTCCCTATGCAGATTCTCTTCTCTTATGCAAAAAAAAGGTTAGAGAGAGAAATAGACACAGACCCACGACTTGCATGGATGCTTCGGCCACGACAGTCCGGAAAGCGGGTCCTTCCGTGATCGCTTCGCACCGGAAGAGACCGGTAGTACGGAGATCCACATCTCGTAAGAGGATCGTAGACGCGTTGGACCCACTCACCTGCAGGAATGATGAAAGCATATCATTACGTGCTGGGATTCCCCGAATACCGTAATATCCTTGACTTGAGGTTATGCGGGTCTTCAATAATTAGGAGTGGGAAGGATCCTCGTGTTTTCATCATCTCGCAGTTCTTCCTTGCATAATCAAACCAAAGATTACCCCAAAGCTTGGATTCTGATGCCAAGGAGGATTTTAAAAAAAAGAAGAAAAAGCGATTTCCATGAAGTACAATTGCAAACGCAGCTCTGAAGTATCTGGTGTTATGCTTTTTGGGACACAAATGAATGCTGAATGGATGATAAAGACAAGATGAGGTTGATGTAGCAAAAAAAAAAAAGGGTTTGATGCTATCGGTTCTTCTCTGTTCCGTGCTCTGGATCAAAGAGACGATGATGGAGACTCTTAGGAAGTCACTTGTCACTTCATTCCTGCATGATAACTCATCTTCCCCGTCATCGATTAAACCTCAACCTATCAAATCCATCTCCAATACCAGCCTACCCGGAGATCTCTTCATCGTCACCTCTCTCGCTCTCTCTCTTTCCCTTGATGTATATCTGGAACTCCCAAGCTGACTTCGAGGGGAGGCAAAAAAAAGAGGAAAAACTCACGTCGATCTGAATGCCAGAGACCCGGAAGGTCTGAATGGAAGGCTGGCGATGTGGGACGAAACGATAGAACTCCGTGTTGTCCTTATACCATTTGACGGCATAGAGGGGGATCCCTTCCAAGTCGAAGTTGCAGGAGATTACGGCCTTCCCTCCTTCCTTCACGTATGAAGGGATTTCCATGTCCTTCATTTGGATTCCCCAGCATATCGGCACACCTGCAGATGGCCCAGTTTTAATTCCCTTTCATCCTGTTTCTCTTGTCTATATTCCCACCGTTCCTGGGGTTTTGCGTTCGTCGACGAGGCTCCTTTTAACGCGGTCTTTTGTGGAATTCGAAATGCCTTCGAGTCTTCTCGATGTGCCGGCAAGAGGCTTTCATTCGTTGTTAGCGAAATATTGCCACTCGCGTTGAGGCTTCAGAATTCACAAAATTATTTGCCACCATTTACGATCAAAAGTTGAGAAACTCGACATCTGTCGATTTTGGAAAAAATCTGTATACCATACGAACGTGAGATGAAATACACCTGAAATGCACAAACACTTCTCGAAAAAGTTAAGGAGCATACTGCGTGACGCCGATGATACTGCGTGACACTGCGTGACACGCAGTCACACATGCAGTCAATCCTCTTTTACTTCAGCCCCACAATTCCATCTGTATCAAACCTTTGTGTGTGTGTTTAAGATACTCGTATTAATGGATTGGAAACTTCTTAAGTTGGAATTTGATGTAACAACCTTGAAATTTGGTGTAGCGTGTACGGGGTTGTAAAAGTAACTGCCTCCACGGTACATATTTTTCAGCGGTCCAGATAAATCTTAGAAATAAGAAGAGATCCAATCCTGCTCCTATCGTCTCAATCCGATTCCTACTGAAGTGTTTTCAGCACATCAAGTTCGTATCGAGACGAGAGAGATTTTCTCATCAGATATTGTCAGATCAGATAAATGTGATCAGTTCTATTTTTTAGCCGGAAGAAAGTTCTGTGTGATCTTCTAGTATATGAAAGAAAGTTGAGCCCTTCTCCAGGGCTCCATGTCCTTTATACTTATTCTGAAGAATGCTGCCTAACTAATTCGGTTCCGTGCACAATAAGGCCATGGGAATAGATTTTCTATATTTTCGTTCGGATGTCCGATGGATCCTCGAACGATATCAGCGAGGAAACAGGCTATTATTAGATTAGGGCATGTTTCTTGCAATATTCTGCGATTAAGTGTGGTAAGGCCGACAGTATTAGTGGAATATTCTTTGGAGTCCTTCGGCAACATAGAACTCACATGAGAGACACGAATCTGAAATTCCAAGCTTCGATTTCTTTTCTTGGCTCGACATCCTGTGGAAAGTTTTGCAATAACAGGCAAGACTACAAATAGATCGTAGAATGATATTGGATTGAAGTGGGAAAGCGGGGAAGGGGGGGGGGGGGGGGGGGGGGGGGGGGGGGGAAATATTTTTATTTGGTATAATATTGTTACGGAGGGGAAGTGGGAGACGGACGGCATGAGATGACGAAAGAAGCCAAGGAGCGTTGAATATTTTCCACAGACGATGGAACATATTTCATCGGTGACGACGATGATAATAATAATTGTCAAGGAAACATCCAATAATGAATGCTGTCAATGAGAGACCTGTCTCATTGCGGCGTGTCCCCCTTTGTCCCTTACATCGTATCTTTAAAAATTCATATCGGGAGCCTCCTGACCTCGTGGAACTTGGGACCGCAAAACTTGGGACGACTTCCCTCGTCCGTCTGTTTCCGGAGAATCCCGGAAATAAATGAGCAATGCGTCCCTAAAATAACACGATATCGGAGGACCTTTTCACTCTGGAAGCAAAGTGATGGAAAAAACGAAAACAAGCCGAAGCGAAATCAGGCCATAACAGGGCTGTTTTTAGGTGCTCCCCTCAAGATTCCTTAATTTTTTGGAAGTCTCTAAGGTGTCATGGACAAGACTAAAAACCGGCTTTACAGGGCGTAATTTCAAGTTAGTTTGGAGGCCATTAAGCTTATTTATAAACTGGTTTTTAATGGAAGATTGACAATTATTTTTGTCTAGGTGTTCCACTTTCTCTTGCTACACAGCCAAGTTTCTAATTTTCTAATATCTTCCTCGACTTTTACCCGACTTTTCACATTCTTCTCTGCCGTATAAAAGTTTTCACACCTTTCGCCACTTCTCGCCTTTTCCATTTCATTAATCTGAAACTCGGAAGAGAATTGAAAAGTTTGGTATCGTCAATGGTCACACGTGACGTCTGCACGCCTCACAGACAACTGAGGACGATACACCCAAGTTAATCCGCTTTCGAATCACAATTTCACAATTCCCCTCACCCAGAATTTAAGTTCCTCTCCGACCAACCGTTGAGAAGTTGAGTTCCCACCAGTATGCGGAAGGATCGCGTTTTCTTCCCGTGCGTGCCTCACGCACTCAAGGGAGTTCATGCTCTCGCCCTTTTTCCGACAAGGGAATCTAATCTCTACGTTTTGCATCCGAAATTAAAAGAATCTTTGAGAAGGATCCCTTAATCCGTAACGTCCCATGATCCACAAATAGGTACCTAGCAATTATATAAATTTATAAAATGCTTTAATGCAAACTTAAAAAAATAATTATCTGTATGAATTTTCAAGTTTCTGCCAGTTGTAGAATATGTATTGATTTTTCAGATGTATTTATTTAAAAAAAAATATAAAATATATCATAATTATGTAATAAAAGAACACTCAAAATTAATGCCTCTATTTAGTTTATGTCAAATTGCTGAGGAATAATTTAAATGTGATGGTATTGAGTAGGGAGTGAGGTATTGTATGCATCCATTAAATGACAGAAATTTTGATTTTGTTGATTTTGTGACCAAAACTCATTAGGGGATCATGATATGAAAAAAAATCTCGGCACTAATGAATCAAAGCTCATGCATCCCTTCGACATCGTTGAGTCCGACGTGGAACCCCAATGTTTTAGAATACTGTTTCTTACGCTCGTCCATAGACACACGTGAAATGAACGATATCCTGCGTTCGTATTTTCCATGACGAATGCCAATTCATCTTTTCCTTAGTATTTCGTGAACTTCGAGAATATGAATGCTTCGTTCCTTAAAATGTAGCCGAAGGTCTTCCCTGCGCAAGACTCGGATTCCTCTGCCGAGATGCTTCGAGAATTCAAGAGTTCTCATCGTCTACATTTTGAGATTGGCGCCCTAGATTTCACGATGGTGGGGCCTCTTTCTTTTCCTTCGACCAGAAGTTTGTGCACTTTGTAAAGGAAGTTGAGAATATTTGGGGAAATGCCAAAGAAGGATGCAAGTCCTGTTCGTGAGAGAGAGGAGAGAATCGAAGGCTTCAAAGGAAAAGTGCGAAATCTGCAAAAAAAAATAATTTCGTTGAGCTCCACACGGAAATTGTGAATATTCCAGTGACTTCTTCGAAGTGGGGAAAAGTGGTATCCATAGGAAGATCAGTTCCTGTTTTAAATAATTCTCACAAACTATCATTTTCAACGGAGGGTGAAAGCCTCTATGATCACTAAACCAACTATGCTTTTACTTTTTGTAAAACTTTTCATTTCAGCCCTTCCATTAGACTGCTCTCCCAAACAATATCGATCAGAGTATGGCAAACGCAATCAAATATTCATTTCTTTTCACATATTCATTCTACAGGCAAATTTTCACAGCTTCTATTATACACATTTTCCGTCTAAATGAGAAGTCTTCGGGCGGAAGTATTCAGATTGGTCTTCATGATGAATAGTTCTTATCACAATCCTAGAGACTCTAAATCCATACTATTTATTTAAATCCATCGTATAGTTCCCGAGATGGCAATATGAAACGCTTCGCTGTGCTCAGGAATACATTTTCATTGGCATTGGATTTGTAAAATGCTTTCCTATGGTATGCGCACATTGTGTTTGGGGCATGCCTCTGCGAAAAAAAGGAGCAGGGAACAGGTTATTTATTTTACGCACGCGACGAAAGCGTTATTTATTTGTGCAAAGATCCGGAATGCCCTTGAAGTTCTTGCCTGCTCTCACAAAATCGTCGCAGATGGTTCGTCGTGACCATCGCCTTGCAGTTGCAACACTTCAAGCGTGCCAGATAATATTCTTTTCACCTTGCATGGTTTTTTCACCTATTCTCATCCCGAGCTACGACAGATTCCTCGTCTTCCTCCTTCAGTTATAAATGAAATAAATATATAAATAAATAATAATAAAATTGTCGGTGTGGAACGTGACTGTCGGACCGATGTCCTTTCTTCAAAATGTCGTTTCGACGCTTGCCTCTCAAAAACTCCAAGATTGATTGGCCTTGTGACGACGACGTGCTGAATCGCAGGGCGGGAATTCGTGAAGGAGCCTGCAAATTTAATCTAGCTTCGGCTGGATGCAACCGCTGATTACAGCTAACTTTGAGCAATTGTCACTCTGATCAATCGGGAAAGTTTTCTGTGAGGTTGGAACATCCCAATGGAATTTCGAGTATTTATTAGGAATACTCCTGCTATCGATGTTTTCTTCCACTTTCCTGCAAGAACGAAAATACTCTCATGGGTGGCGTGCATGCCGTGCATGATGGCTCTACCTCTCAGGCGGAAGTTTCCATCGACATAGCTTTTTTTTGCCTTTATGTCCCACCTGCACAACAGCGAGACCGAAATGGGATTCCGTATTCCATATACCTATAGGGAGACACGGGGGGATATTCAAACGGTTGAACCATTTAAAAAAATTCTCGCGGTATTATTTGGTCGAGGTTCCACTGCAGTCGTATACGAGCTGATTCAACGTGGGGAACGAAACGTGAGGAGTGAAATGAACCAAAAAAATAAGAAAGGAGAAACAAGTGAAAGGAAAAATAAAGTTTTAGCGTGCAGGAGGAGATGAGGAAAATGTGGAAAAGAAAGACGGAAGCTGTCAGAAGCAGATTCCCTGCATTTCCTTGTGTGACCCCCGACAACGGGAGAAATGAGCTTGAAAAATCATTAACTATCAGGAATCCATTCTCTCTCCTTTTCTTTTTAGTTTTCTTTTCACAATCAGAAAATGGATAGGGCTGGGAAGGAATTGAGCATGTGATCAAGACGCATGGCTTCACTCTCCATCATGGGGCTTTCTCTTTTCCCTCGTTCTTTTACGTCGCTTCATTGCAAAGCCCATTCTATACGCCGGTTGGGACATCGATGGATTCCGATCGATTCACTGATTCTTTTTTCTCTTTAAATAAGGATTCGAGAAACTAGTTGCAAGGGAAGGGGGTCTAATCATGGGCACATAGTTATTACATCCCACGCAAGCCTATGGAAGAAATAGGATGGACAAGGTATAAACAACTCACGTGTGAAGTGCTGCAAAATTTGAATGAGGAGGAGGAGGTAGACACGTGGACAGGATAACATGATCTGAACAGATCATCCTCGACGACAACACTACTGTTCCTTACATGCCCATTTCCTACCTCTCTGCCGTTGTTCGCGAGAGTTTTATCCATGTGACCTGAGCTCTAGACATGAGTTTACTATAAGGAAGATTATTGGCGCCTGCGCCGGTGCCTCGCCCCTCCACCCCTTCCATGGATCCTCGCCTGCTCCCCCCCCCTCGAACAACAACCAACTCCTTCCTGAAAGATGCACAACCACCGCCGCTTGTCTTTTATTTAATGCACTGCAATGCTTCTTCTTCTCTTCCTCTTTTCTTCTATTTCTGCTATGGACTTTGGAAATAAATGCCTTCTAAACATAAGTGACTTCGTCGTTCGTCATCAAAATCCTAGTATCTGAAAATATCCTCCTGCTTATAGGGGTCGCATATCGCACTTCATGCATCTTACAATGCATCCCCTGTACATCGTCATAGCAGACAGAAAGTCTGTTACTAGCACGGGATGAGACGCTTTAAAAAAATCCTGCAATCTCTGCTAATCAGAATCGCCTTCTGCGATTTTCTTTTTATCCTTGCAATTTCACACATGGAGCATGCTCTGTGTACATGAAGGACGATAAGAGAGATCGAGAGGAGGTTATTCCCTTGGATTGATGAACGCTGTCTGTCTCAAGGGGGTAAGCATCGTTACCGAAAACGGGAATCGATGCACGTTGTCGTCTTGGGTCTTGGGTATATGACATCGGAGAGAGAGAAAAAGAAAAGGGAAAGTCAGTCAGCTTTTTTCTGCCAGACGTCCGAAGTGATCGAAGATCCATCCATTATAATGGTCTCGGCTCTTGACGACGTTACACCAAAGTCCTTTGACGGAATGTCGCCGGAAATGAATCACAAATTGTCCCCTGTCCATAAAATCCCTCCCTCTGTCCTCCCATCATATTATATCACATCGATTCCTTTCCTTCTTCTTCGTTTTCTCCTTCACTTCGTTCCTTGACCCCAAGAATGCAAGTCTCCCCTTTAATCCCAGCTTATTTCAGGAATTTTTCTTCGCGTCGGTTCCCTCAGAAGTAAAACTGCGCTCTGGAAATGAATTACCGAGCAGCTCATCTCAAAAGCTCGTTAAGTATGCCGACAACAGGCAAATATGATCCATCGATCAATATTGGGGGGGGGGGGGGGGGGAGAGAGAAAGACGGAAAAAGGGAGGAAAGAGGTAAGAGATCGTAAAGTTGGTCTGCATGTGGAATGGAACGACGGAGAGCCGTAAAAAGCGGGGCTAAGTGGGCCCTTATATGACCAAAGAGAAGAGAAAAAATTTCTTGCCATCTCTCTTCAAACTGCTCCCTACGGAGCACCTCTCATCGATGACCATCCTCACTCATCCACACGCTCACTCTCACTCTTTCAAAGAAGAAAGCAGAATCATCTCCTTCCTTTATTGAGGCACTCAATCACAATATATTATATCAGAATATACCATCTCTCTTTGATTAGACTCGGTGAGATATCAACATTTTCAACTGGTAACTGTGGCATGGTAACTGAGGATTCGATGAGTAATTTTCGTCTCCCACGCTCTTCACCCACACAGTAATAATATATTACGCCTGCGGGAAGTGGTTTCACACAGGCGTGACCTTTGACTTCGACAATCGTTCGAGAATGACATCTCCGTTCACGCAGAGATTCAGAATGAGCCTTTCACCAACCAAGCGGTTTCTTTCTATCGTCAAAGTTCAGTAGAATAAAAGTGCGCTGGAAATCATTTTCTTGAGTGGCTTTGAGCATAGCTGGAGCTGTGGCCACCTCCGTACGAGACGGCGGATGCCACGGCACTCGAGGATCCATGAGAATTAGACGACGATGCATGTGCCTGAGCATGCGACGGTGATCCATACGTCACCACAGGTACATGGGAAGGAGCTGTGTAATATTGCACTGATGGATACTGCACAGTAGGGTACTGGACAGTAGGGTACTGGACATACCTATACGTGGGTGCAGAGTAAGTGCTACCGAGGTATATGACCTGCGGCTGATTCCAGTGAGATTGAACGTGGCGAATCTGAGGTTGAGGAGCCCAATGACTTTTTTGGACATGGGCAGTCGCCACAGCTTTTTGCTCGTTCCAATGACTTGATGTCGAGGCATGAGCATGAGCAGATGAGGAACTCCGAGGTACACTCACCGGCTGGTAGTTCTTGTTATACCCAATCACCAAGTCGTAATTAGCTTCATGACTTCCATACGGCTGACCATTCGTCTGATGATGATGATGAACAGTGTGAGCCTTGTAGGAAGGGATGGAGATAACGGGACCTTTATACGTATGATAGACGTGAGCAGACGGGGCATAATCAGCTGTTGTTACGACTTCATGACTCTGGCTCGCTTCCGATATGTAATGGTGATTTGTTGACGTGCGCGTTGAAGATGAAGCATCTGCTGATGTCTTTACGTACACTGGTCGACTCACCGTGATTGGTTTATAAGAAGTAGCTTTGTGTGTATGAGTGTGTTGGCTTTGGGAGTAGGATTCGGAGACGGAATCGGACGTATTCACGGCGCTATTGTGTTGGACTTGGATGTGCGTCTGAGGTTGATTCGCATGAGGACGGGAATAAGTGATGCTGATCACATTGTGTGGTTTCACTATCACCTGAATAGGAGGCCCGTCATCTTCCCCCTTCCCGTTTACTTCCACCGTGTAATATGTGGAGTTGCTTTCGTGGGATTCCGATTCTTTTTTTGCTGAAGAAGAATAATAACTTGGCTTTGGGGTTGTGGTCGTGATGGTAGTCGTGTAATAGACGGGTGGAGGCGGAGGTGGGGTGTATGCCGGTGGTGGGGCTGTGGCATATGCTGGAACAGCGCGATGCGCGAGTGGAGGTGGGTAAATTGGAGGGGGTTGAGGATACTCCACAGGCGGAGGACTGATTGTGGTAGTCGTCGTTGTGGGTAGATCGTAAATGGGTGCGGGGTGTGGTGGCTGGTACTCGGGTGAGGGTGGCGGAACGTAAGTTTCTGATATGGGTGTTGAAGGTGGAGGAGGGCGGGTGTACCTGGTTCCTGACAAATACTGGTCATTCACCGTCTCATGATACTCTTGTTTCGTCGCTTCATGTAGCACGCTCTTTCGCGGAGGGTGATACACCTTGATGTAATGATCAGATGCAATATGGGTGCTATTGTACAGATGACTTGCCGGAGCTTCGATTTTCTTCGCCTGCCGTCTTTGGAAGTACTGAGGTGGGGGTGTGTACGAGGGTCTGGGTGTCGACCCAGGATACGATTGAGTTTTATCTCCTTCGAAGCTCACCTTGGCTCGATAGCCCAGTTTATCTGCAGTATATTCCACGATTTGATACCTTCCATCTGGTAAGAGGACCCGGTATTCTCCCTGGGTGTCAGGACCCTCTCGTCCCTCCTTGTGGGAGAACACTTGTCCCGTGCTGTTGTCTTTCACGCCGTACTCGAATTCGTACACCTGAAATTAAAACGAGATGCCATGCTGAGGTTACGCTTTTTCCCTTCTCTTCCCACGTTATGAATGAGAATGTGATATGTCCTTGGCCCTCCTGTGGACCCAGCCCTTTCGTCTGATGGAAACTACCTCCCACACTTCTGTGAAGGGATTAGGTAATCGCCCTCCATGCGGTAATGAGAAATGGTATGACACTGGAGTCCGGTTCCTATCATCATTTGTCATCATGAAGGAGGTGTTAATTTGAAACGAATTTCGTGTCATCTTGACCTTGGGACTTGTCAACCCTGTCCTTCCTCGCCTCGTTTCAACCTTGGGCTTCCGGATCCAGAAAACTGCCCAGATGAGTGTCAATGTTAGCGTGGCACTCTTTTCCTCCTCTCCGTTTATTCACGCAGTTACATGGATTACATAAAGTCTCTGTTCGGAGGAAGACAGCTGAATAGATAGGAACAATGGGGTGTCTTTGGACTTTCAATCATTTCTTGGGGCAAGGAAGACTCACAGATTGGGCAACTGGGGAGGAGAGAGCAAGCTAGAACTGGCTCGAATATTACAGGGCCATTGCCGAGCACATCCATAGTGTCGTGCAGGATTAATGCCTAGAAACTGATGCGTGGTTTTGAGAAAGACATATGGACTAAATAATGGAAAAGGAACCTGATTGATGTCCTTGAGGGCGTTTCTCCTTCGTGAAAATTGAAACGCACAACATGCATGAGGTAGAGGATCACAAAGTACACGGATCAAGGGAAGGATTTTATAATGACTCGGTGTACAGAGGAATTGTCAGTTGTCAGAAGGCAAATAGCTATTCAATCTCCTTGCCTCGAGACAGATCGATATCACAAAGCAACTTCCTTACAAAGGCAACGCAACCCAAAGGACAAGTGTCGATGTTTACAAAACAGATGTACGAAAGTCCTGCATTGGAAAAAAATTGCATGCCGACAAAAACAAAAGTTTTCCCTTTCCAAAACTTCGCCCAGGCACGGGCCTGCAGTGGAATCGATTATATTGTCTTTTCAGGACTGTCATGGTGGATACTATTGAACCCATGAGGTGACCACTGTTGATAATGGAATACTACACTCATGATTACGTAACTTACCACTACTTACTACGCTAAAGAGAAAGCGCCCCCTCGACCCCTCACACACAGAGACATGACAGAAAAGCTGGAGAGTAATACCTTCCCTCCTGTAATAGCAACTATTCAAGAGAACACGTGAGAGCGCATGTAAAACGGTAACGCTCTCTGGAACTACGTAAAAAAAATTTTTTTTTAATGCTGTGAGCGTGCACTTCGGTGCAGCATTCCAAGGAAAAAATCGATCCTCCTGGCCCTGAAAAGCCTCTCTATTGATAGTAGCATCTATGTGATAGGCCTACCGTCAGCTTGGAGCAATGGATGCATTACAGAGGGGGTGTCAAGTAGTAAATTCTCTAACATTGAGTCAAACGATGTGAGTTTGCTAGTACCTCTGACAGTCTCCAGGCAGCTCAGCAGCGAAAATTATTGTATAATTTCGCACAACAGCACTTTGAGTGAAAATCTACGAGGAGAGTTCAACGAAATTCAGAATTAGAGAAGTGACGTCGTCATAAGTTCGCCTTAAGCAACGCCTCCTCTCGTAAGCATCTCCGGTACCACACTCATCAAAACAACTAAAAAATTAGGGAGCGCGAGAGAGAAAGAAAAATAAGCCAAGACTTTGCCAGAAGAGAGAGGAAAAGAGAAGGTGAAGAAAAACGGTATGGATCAAAAGTGTTACTGACTTATGGCCACAACTCCCCAAATGTTAAACAGCGTTCCTCTCTGGCATATAATTTTGAAACAATGGAACGCATTTTTTAAACAATGATTTTGAAGATTAAAAAAAGAGCTTCTCTTCATTGGGTGTATTATCATTGTGAGCATAGGTTATCAAGACAAGGATTATTCCTGAGAAAGCCTCAGTATCATAAAATGATACAAAAAACATGAGTCATGAGCTCAGCGAGTCATTCTCAATTATTCAACTAAAGCTAGGTCTTCGCCTATGCGTGCCAGAGAACCCGCATGTGAAGAATTCAGGGTGTTTTCTCAGTAGATCGCAGAGAGATGCAATTTTAAATAGTCGATCCACTTATGCTTGTTTGTATCAGTTATGTGAATCCTTAAGGACACCACAGGGACTTCCGTGTAGAACGTTTCCTAGGAATCGATTGAAAAGTTTCGTTTCTTTCCATATTACGAGTTGTTACAAACGAAGGCATGTCTGGCAGTTATTTCCTCTCGTTCTTCGGTGACTTTTCCTCTGAGTATCGACCACGGGTCGATATACGTCGAACAAGAAGTTCCACGCCACCCAAGTTTGGCGAGATTCCTACTAGAAATATTGATGAGGCCTTGCTCTTCTAACGGTAACTCCTACTCACGCAAACGAAGGTAGACTTCGTAGTCCGAGGGGAATGCATAGAGTACAAGGCCTTCAATTATTCGCAATCTGGTTTGATTCCACGAGTAGGATACCGATAAAAATACAACTACTAAGGAAAGAAGGTGCCTTCGTGTACACGTGAAATTTCATCTGACCTGGGAGTGAACTTTTGGGCAACGATGCACGGTTGCATAATGACGAGATTTTTGACTGGCGCAAACACAAGTATGCGTTCCCCTTGACCGAAGTCATCAATTATTACCCAGAGTCTTAAAAAGCTTTCTCTCACCTCAGGGTCAGGGACGGGCTCTTCTTCGGCGGAATGGCCATCAGAGAGTACATTTGAATAAGAATCGGATTCTGGTCGAGGTTCTCGATCGTCGGAAACCTCCAAAGACTTGCTCACTGTGTACGATTTCTCACTCGCTTGGGACTCAGGGATAAAATACACTGAATGTCCGCGTGGCTTCTTCTCGTAGTCAGCCCACGTCCCAGGCATACAGAGGAGCACCAGCACGAGCAGGACCTGAAGAGATTCGCTTGCCTCAGCAAGAGACATCCTGGATACAATAGAAAGGGACCAAGTATTATGCACTCACCGAGGTTGGGGGTATAAGTCTGACTATCACAGCCATGTTTCGTGAATTGAGGGGAGGTCCGTCACTTGGGGACACTTCTTCGAGACTGAAGAGGTCGGGAGGGTTTGGAAAATATTCATTCCGAGGATGGGAGGCGGGCTTTTTCCTTTTCCCCCCACGCCACAAACATTATTGCATCATCGTGGAGTCCCTAAAGAGGCTTTCTATCACAGGCGCGTATCTCGGAGTCTCCATGGCGAGTCATCTAGACGTCCCCGACTCATTGACATTGAGGAAGGAAGGTGTTCCCGATTTTCAGGAAGATCCCAATGTCAACGACTACCGGGGATTGCATAATCCATATCACCACTGAACTAGTTTTTCCGCCTCCTCTTCATCCTCATGAGTAATAATCCGTCATATTTCCGTCTCTTCTTTAAATTCATTCAATTAACAATTTCATTACTTTAGAAGTGGAATTAGAAGGTGCCATCTTCCAGTTCTGCATGCACTGCAATTTCATCCATTTCTTCGTTCGCACTTTGGCGGCGATTCTATAATCCCTGAGGGCGCCCATAAAGAAGCATGTAGAGTGAGTCATATATTTGGCTCTTGCATGCTGCAAGTGCGTCATGTGAAGCAACGGGTATAGAATTCCTCTCCGGCTGACGTCGACATGCCCCTGAGCGGTGTTTCCGTGACGTTAATGCATGGCGATCCTTTTATAGAAGACCGGCTTCCTGCATATCCTTCAAGGCATGTCCTAGCAGGCAGCACGGGAAACGTAATGATGACGTCATGGACTCAATGGCCACCCGGAGATGACCATGTGCTTTCTCGATTCCTCAAGTTCTCGCACACTACAACATTCTGCGTGAAATAACTGATTCGCTGGAGTCACATCGCTTTCCTTGTTTGAGGGCTTAAGTCTTTCTTGGAGCACTCATGAATCCCCCTGACAAACAGGAATTCAACCCTAATGGTGACTATCTCGAAAGATCACAGTGGCTCAAGCCTTGCTGCTGTAGGGTAGGCCATAGGCCTAAGTTAGGCGTCCAGGTCCGTTAGCCTCATCATGCACGTTTTCAATATGAGCTTGTGATCAGATGCAAAATACTCAATCATTGAATTTCTTCCAGAACACCCCCATATTCGCCATAACCCCCTCACGGATACATGGGTCTTAGTATCTCCTCATCGGACTAAACGCCCATGGCAAGGACAAGTGGAAAAGATACGAGAGGAGGAAATCCCAGAATTCGATCCAAGCAATCCTCTATGTCCTGGAGTCACACGGCCAAATGGACAGGTAAATTGAGCTGCCCTTTCCTGCATTAGGGATATGACTTTTGTAGCTGAACTCTTGACCTCCTTTCAGTCAGTATGGGCAGAAATGCCTCTTGATGTCCCAACCCTCACTTTGAACCTTGCATCCTACTATTGCTAAGCTTGCATACACTGTTTTCAGATTGAATTAGTACCCCCCCCCCCCCCAAGTAGTGTAGAACAGAGAAAGCATTACTTTCTAAGAATCCACTTTATTAGACTATTCAAAAGCTACTCTTGTGGAAGGTGCCATGCCTACAATCAATGGAAGCACTCCTATGGTGTATTATGAATTCAATATGAAAAAGTGCAGATGAATCTTTGTTATGTAAACATTACAGGGACAAGAGAGAGATTCATAGTTTTTCTTGCCCTAGGTGAATCCAGAGTACACCTCAACATATGTGTTCACAAATGATTTCCCTGCACTACTTGAGGATTCCCCATCTCCTTCAATCTCTCATGACAGTCTCTTTCAAGCCAAGGGAGCACAAGGGACATGCCGAGTTTTCTGCTTCCATCCAAAGTCCAACATCACCATCCCTCTTATGACTGTAGAGGAGATTAAGGCAGTCATTGATAGGTTGAATTACTCATTATTCATAACTCCTATAGCAGCTTTATGTTGTCAAGACCCATCAATTGAACTTTCTTCCTTGCTTCAGGTGGTGTGAGGAGATCGTTGAACTTGGAGGAAGATACTCATGGGTCCAGGTGGGATGTTCTTATGGAGAATGCCTATAAGTTAAATGTATAGATTGTCTTAATTGGATGATGTTCAACCTGACCCTGGTTTTGTGCAGATTTTTGAAAACAAGGGAGCAATCATGGGATGTTCAAACCCTCATCCCCATTGCCAGATTTGGGCCAGTTCATTTCTACCCAATGAGGCCTTGATCAAAGATGTCCATCAGAAAAAATACCTAAAAGACTATGGGAAGTCACTCTTACTGGATTATGTTCATAAAGAACTTCAACAAAAGGTCAGCTCAGCTAGTTATTCACCACTGATGACATATGAAGGGTTTTAAGAAGAGGGGGCTTCTTATAAGTTGTGTGACAACTGGTGCTAAGCCCACTCGCTCCACCTCCTTTCTGTATTCCACTTTTCACCATACTTTCTCTTACTAGCTCATTGACTGATTTTAAAATGGTAGTTCAGTTGCTATTCAGTTCTAGTTCTAGTTCAGGCTTAGGTCAGACTGTGGTTCCACCATGCTCTTATTGACTTCTATCACAAAGAAGTCCCCACTTGAACTGCATTTGAACTAAAGCTGGAACTGAACCTTGACTGGGCTAGTTTTTAAATCAGCCATTGTTTCTGTCTTAATATGTGCTTTGGGCATTGAATGCTATGCACCTCATGGGACCACACTCAATCCACACATTTTTGGTGACTTTAGAAAGCAGTACAACATTCTGAAGGTTTAGAGGCAAAAATTGCTCAAAGACATGTTGCATGCAGAAACTCTTTTTCAGGGGCCTTGTGTAGAAAGAAGAAGAAAGTTAAATTATGGTATTTAATGATTAAGTTGTGTCACATAATAGACTCTTCAGCTTGTGAAGTACCCAATTGTAGCACAAGTGGAATTGTTTTGTACATGTTTTGTATCCAAGTAGTGTATCATTCTTATTTTGCACTAGAATGCAAATGTATTTCTCCACTGAAAGCAGTGTGGAGATATTCACCTGCTCTGTTGTACTCAAATCACATGCCTTCCCTGTCAAATTTACAATTATCTAATGCTCTTCTACTGTATCTTCAGCCAAGTTGAAAGTTTTTTGCCATCTAAGTCTCAGTAATTGTTTTATCCATCCTAGGTGTTGGGTCTAGGCCTAATACCCTGTTCATATTTCTACAATGAGGCATTATTGAGTCAGTGTTTGGGACACTATGAGGGAATGGTTTGCCATATAATATCCCATAACACATAATTCAGAGCATGATTTATAACAAATTTTTGAGGGGAGTTTCAAATTTCTTTGTCCAAGCCACTCATAGTTGTAATACAATTTTCTTCCTTGCATCTTGAAAGTCAAGATGCAAAGTTGCTTCACCTTCAGTTAAGCAAAAGAATTAAAAAATTATCAGCTGAGGCAAAGTTTGATCAGATTTGTAGTGGGTGGAAATTTTAATTAATTTTAGATTATACTGCCAAAGGGACTTTTACCCTACTAAATGTGATCAAACTTTGGCAATCACCTTTTTAATGCAACATGGAATGATTGAAATGAAATAGATTTTGATCTCTTTGCTTGTGCTTATAGGAACGGATAGTGTTTGAGAATGAGACTTGGGTGTGCCTAGTCCCCTATTGGGCTGTCTGGCCATTTGAGACAATGCTTTTGCCAAAACGACATGTGATTCGTCTTCCTGACTTGAATTCTGATGAACGGCATGGCCTTGCTGATGCCATGAAGAGACTCACAATTCTGTATGACAATCTGTTCCAGTGCTCCTTTCCATACACTATGGGATTTCATGGTGAGTTAGAGTGAAATTTGTTTGAAATGGTCCATCATTCCTTCAATCTGTTTTCACATCTTTACAATAGGTGCCCCAACTGGTGGTTATTTAGTGCAGGATGAGAATCACTGGCAGCTCCATGGCATTTATCTTCCTCCATTGCTTCGTTCAGCTACCATCAAAAAGTTCATGGTTGGGTGAGTCTTTCCTTCTAGTGTCATTCTTTGAGGTTACTGAAAGAGATTATGCATAGAATGTCTCTTGAAAGTTTTTCTTCCATACTAGGTATGAAATGCTGGCTCAGCCACAGCGAGATCTGACTCCTGAACAGGCTGCTGACAGGCTCAGAAATCTTCCTGAATTTCATTACAAAATGTCTGAACTGTGAGTTTGTCAAATGTCACCTTTGCTCCCAATCCATGCTCATCACTTTCTTTTGCTCCATTCTTGTTTGATTGTGCAATGTTTTGGGAAATTCATGTTACCTGGCAGTGCTTATCATCTACCTGGAGGGATTTGCTTTGGCTTTATTGAGTCCTTCAATTGGTGGGCCTATGTTAACATATCACTGTCATAAATGTAATGGAAGGGAACAGGAAAAACTCAGGAAGTTTCAGCAAACATCTCACATCTACAAACTAAAGCCAGACAGATAAGGAGGCTAGCTGAAGGGAGCTTGCTGAAGGAAGCCTCAAGAACGGGATTTCAAATAATTGATAGGCTTTCTAGGGGGGAAGGGGGGAATATCTGGTCTATAGTATTAACATCCAATGGAGCCATTTTCTGCTGTCAATTTTTGAATGCTGAAAAGAACTAAAATTTCTTTTTTAGTTTTTTCAGCATTCAAAAGGAATTATTCTTAAATCCAAATGCCATCACATTGAAGTCCTGAATCATCCCAAGCACCACCATTAATTAGCTCAACTAGCCTTAAAGCAATGGTATTTGACAATTACTATGGTATGTTTGGATGGACTTTGACTGTGGTGGCTCTTGGCTTCACAGAAAGTAGGGTGAGTGCTGCAAATGTCAGCACTGGGGGTAATCTTGGCACTTTACAATAGTCACCCTTCTTTTTCCACTACCAGTCCCTTAGTTACAGGAATCCATTCTCAGATGGTGTAACTAATGTTGACATGTGCTAAGAACAGTCCTATTAGCTGTTGTAGTTTTCTTGCAGTGACTGGCTTCTCTAAGCACACTCAGAAAATCCTAAGAAATCTTATAAATTTTGCTAAGCTTTACACACTCCCATCCTTTTCTTCCTCACTAGGTATTGTTTTATTAGTTTATTGCTTTCATTTTGGAGTCCATTGTAAATGATAGTGACAGTTGTGCTGACATTCCCAACACTTATCCTACCTTATCTGATTAAAATCATTGGAATGGTGTCTGGCCACAGATATAGGTCTGCTTTGTAGCTATTTGACAGTTTCCTGATCTCAACACTACTAGAATGAATACTGGATGGCTTTCTTGTGAAGAATATTTTGCTTACACTCCTTTTTTCACATTCTTCAGCCTAATCCCATCTCTGCTGGCTTTATATTCTATAGTGTTCATTGATGGGGTCAGTATATTGATTGAACATCTTGGTGAGTGAAACTCAAGCAGCTTCTCGTCCGCATTGCACATCCACATCCAAGTGATCATCGGAATGTTTGATTTTGCTTTAATCTGGAATGCATGTGCATTATCTATTGGGATATTGGTTATTATTATCATTATTATTGTCATTATTATAGTCTTTTGCCTTGTATTTGTGAGTGACTTCTTTGCTGACAGTTATATCCAAATACAATGAACTTGAACAAAATGCTTATTAAATTTATTTCTTCAGTGAAGCAAGGGATCAGGAATGGTATTCAGCTTTTTGTTGGCTGATGACTGGTACTTATTTTGTAACCTGTTATGAAATGGCACTTCTCATTATTTTCTGAACTTTTGTTTGTAATTCTTGAAATATAGGAAATACACTTATTTTCTTGCATTCCACTGTTCATTTATAGCCATCCTGTGCTACCTCCAGTTCACTTTCTTAGCTATAACTTTAAGACATGGAAGTATATCTTGAAGAAGCTCAAGAAGACTGAGGTCCTGGGGTCAGTACTAACTTAGCTACTGTATCCAATACTGTACGATATCGAATAAGTAACTGACACATGAGGATCGCATATAATATTATTCTTAATGCACACGCAAGAAGCACCTTAGAAATAAAAGAAAGGATCGTTTCTAGGAATTTTTGTGAGAATAGTCATTGTAAGATTTTCTTCCTAGCAGTGCTCGCAATGGCGGTACCCTTCGCCTATGCATTTTTGCACTTCCAACCTGAAGTTCCACACTGCAGACTGCAGCATGTCCCTTGGAATGGAGGCAATTTATTTGATCCTGTCCAAGTTCCGGCAAGGTTTTGGGCTGACTTAACTTTCTCTTTCTAATAATCTAAGGTGACCGGATTTATTTTTTCAAGAAAATGCCCAAATGTTAGTCCTTGCAATGTGGTAAAGCCGGAATACCAGAATAAAAAGGAAAATTCAAACCATGGCATAGCTGGAAAAACCGGACGTCTGGTGACCCTAAAATAACCCCACAAGAAGTCACATGGTGTTAATTCAGGGCTCTTCGCAGGCCAGTCAATTGACCCTCGACGACCTATCAATTGTGCGGGAAACTTCTCGTCCAACCAACTCCTCATAATCTTGTGAATGTGGGGCTTGTTTTATCTTCAATCCGAGCTGCCACGTTTCCATCTCGGTGCACTGTGACTGGGCGACGACTCTTCTGGTTGTCTGCAATCATGCTGATGTAATGGCCTTTCAATGAACATCCTAAATGCTCTTCATGTTCAATATGACATTCCGGCCATGCATCTCGCCACCAGCGCTGGACTAAAACGGGACTCCAACCTTCATATCTTGCAACAATTTAAAACTGTTGCCTAAGGGAAAGTTGATGAACTGCCATGAATCCTAAATTTGCTTCCATTGATCAATTCAAAACTTATGCTGATTCTTTCTGAAAAAGTTTAATGAGAAAACAAATGCTTTCGTCACATGTCAGATACCTTGTAGTAGTGTCGAAAGAAAACCCAGGACAAAGAGACACGCAAAAATCGAATGCTACAGTATCTCCTCTTGTGAAACTCCAAGGAATGAATGGTGGTTGATGGCTGGAGGGACAGCCAAGAGGTAGCAACAGTGTTCATCAAGTACATCATATACTTTTAAAGGGCAGAGGCTCCATTTGCTTTCGGCGAAATTCGTCATGTAACTCCTCTCTTCTGTATACACCATTGACGCTTTATGATATGCACCATACGAATCATGCTACCCCATGCTACTCTAATCTATGCCGTATTCTCCCCTCTCTGCACGATGCTACTCCATGCTACTCATTGCTACCATCTTCTATATCGTATTCTACCGTGTCTGCACCATGCTACTCTATGCTATCCACTGCTATTCTTGTCTTAACTCTCTTCTCACGCGGTGTATCATGCTACTCTATGCTATCCACTGCTATCCTCCTTTCAGCTGTCACATCTCCCGACTCGACCATGCTTCTCCATGCTACCTCGTGGTTGTCTCTTTCGTAATCTTTTCTTCCGGTTTACTCAATGCTACTGTCCTTTCTGCCTTACTCTCCCGTCCGTATTCCTTACTGTTGCATTCTACCTTCTGAAAATATCTCAGTACCCTATTCTCATTGGTGTGCTCCGGACCTATCCTTTGCTCCTCTTTTATCACTTTTCATCGGCTCCCACTTCACTCCATAATTTCAAAATTTGCCAATGAAATGAAATAGAATGAAAACGATGAAACACAACCAATTTGCTAATAACCTCGACGGGTAACTTCAACATTCAAGAATGAAATGAAGTGGAATCATATGCAATCAAAATTGTAATGAGCCGGTCTCGTGTGGAATCCAATCCATAAAACAATCTGATTTTGTGTCTAGTAGTCTCCCCAGTCCATGCAGTCTGAACAACAGGCAGACTACATACTGGGCAGTTTAGTGGTTCTCTGGGACGCCACAGGAGAACATCATAGATGAAGAAAGAATCGATGTTGGAAACACATTTTTCACAACTCAACACCTTCAAGAATGGACCAACTTCCCGTTTCGCTTGTTCAAGACAGTATTTTAAGAAGTCGTCACTGGAGGACGCTCTAAAAATGTGAAAACCAGAAAAAAAGCAATTAGAAGGCAAAGGTTCGACATGGTTAGTGCACCAAGTGGATCAGACGAATACTCAGTGGTTCGTGTCTGTTTCAAGAGATATTTTTTGCTTTTTATCATCACCAGGTCGCTATAGGGGGAATGACATGCCCCTAGGGCGTGACTTATTTAGTAGCACCGGATATCATGGAGCAGCATGGTTCAGACACGAAGAAATAAGATCCAGAGGAGTGTACCAAGCGTTAGCATGGAACGGTATGGCAAAGTCAGGAGATGTAAGAGCTGAGAGGTAGATTGCAGTGGGTAGCATAGAGTCGCATGATGTACACGTGTGAGAAGAGAGTTAAGACAAGAATAGCAGCGGATAGCAGGGAGTAGCATGGTGCAAACGCTTGAAGAGAGGGTTCACAGGAAAGTAGCAGAATATAGCAGGGAGTAGTATGGGGCAGACCCGTGAGAAGAGGACTTGGGAGAGTAGCAGTTGGTAGCATGGAGTAGCATGGTGCAGACACGGTAGAATAAGGTACAGAGGATAGTAGCAATGAGTAGCATGGAGTAGCATGGTAAAGAGAGGGGAGAATACGGTATAGATTAGAGTAGCATGGGGTAGCATGAGTCGTATGGTGTATACGGGAGAGGAGCTAGATATAATATATTTCGCCGAAAGCAAATTGAGCCTCTACCTTTTAAAGTCAAACGATATAACGGTTATGACGTCATAAGATATGCATGATTCGTTTTACATGTATTGTCATGAAGTGCAACTCCTTTTTACTCTAAAAGGTCAAAAGTAAGGTAGAATGGAGGGTCGATTAAGTCATGGTTTTGCACTTAGGTGGAGTACGATGCCCAATTCGCCGTAGATTTCTTTTTTTTTCGTCTCCATCGATAGAGAAAATAGAAGCATCCTCCTTGAGTTGAATTATGTCTACTCCGAGGACAGGTTCTGTGCATACCATTATCCATATTCATAGGCGGCGATTCATAGGGGCTCACGGAGCTCGAGCCCCCAAAAAAATTTGGCAGAAGAATAAGGAATACTAGGAGTACTGCCTCTGAGCCCCCCCCCCCCAAATTTCTTAACAAATCGCCGCCTATGTCCATATTCATCTGTGTTTACACAAAATTTGTGAAGGGTGGATGCTCAGATTTTCTTTGGTGCATTCCTTCAAAGCAGTTGAGATGTTGTAATGTGATGTCCCA